TGTGACCAAAATGATGAAACAATTTGATCACATGATTGAACGAAAATTGAATTTGGAATTATCAAACGTCTTTCCCCGTTTATCAAACGTCTTTCCCCGTTTGAAATTCTTAGCGGGATGTGGCCAGTTTAGTGATTTTAGTAATATTATTGGTGATTAACACTATATATTGGTTATTACTATTATTATTCTTTAATTAAACTAGTTAGAACCTTTATCAGTAATATATATTCTCATGTAATAGATAAAGCATGAGGCCGTGTTGTATCAGATATACAAACTCGAGCGGAGGTTGAGACAAAGTTTATGCAAATTAGAAAAAAATTGTACGTGTGGATTAAACACTGACATTTTAAAATTTTGTTCATTAATTATTAATGAGTTTTACACTTTTTGTACTGTATAAAGTGATAAAATAAAGTTACTAAAAACATTAGCTTGCGTTTCATTTTGACGTTTAGACTTTAGGTTTCTTAAATATCATTCATCCATACTGTCTCAATTTTTGTTTATTTCAAAATTTGTAGGACTTAAGGTACTCACGAAGTGCATTCAAATCCGTACCTAAGATGCCGCTTTCTGGTATTTTGGGCATATTTTGGTCAAGCAAACACCGAAAACGCGACCAATCAAGCAAACATAGACAGCTTTGTAAGCTTGTAACACGAGCCGTGTTTAGATCACGGTCTATACCAAATTTTGTTTGCTTATGGCAATTCCATCATTAATACTTAATTATCATGGTTTAAACAGAAGGAGGTTTACTGAGTCTGAAGTTTGTGTCTGTGTTTTAATTTCTTTTCTTTGTTCTGAACGCGGAAAAATTGCTCACACATTTAAAATGTTTGCCATTCAAATAAAAACGAACCCCTGCTATTGACCTGTCAAAACAAGGTCAATTTATAAATATTTAAAATGAAACCTCATTATTATTTGTTATGTCAAAAATAAAAATGTTAAAATGAAACCTGATTATTTCATGGTTCTAAGCCGATGGAAAATTTATTGAGCCAGAAGATTGTGTCGTCGTTTAATTTCTTTCCCCCTTTATTGATACTAAAAAAATACTCGTTTATTCACCTTATCCATTATTAATGTATTCAAATCAGAACTAACATGCACCTGTTGGCGTTCGTATACTTGTCAGTACGTGTTGGAATGTCGAAACAAAGTCTAGATATTATTACGATCGAAAGTGAAACGTGATTATTTGTAAGTATGGAGGAGAAAATTGGTAAAACAGAGATCGAGAACACTTTCATGTTTCAAAAAGTCTGGCCAAAATCCACGACAATATTGAGCACAGTCGAAATTCGCTTCACAACTGGAAAAGTGGATACATCTAGCAACATTTATAGGAACGAGGGTAAGGGGGGAGATCATGCCGAGAAACGTTTCCTTGACGAATTGAAAAGTAAAATTGCACAACGCCAAGTAACAGGATTAAAAGCAAAACTGGTTCAAAACTACTCGCCCTGTCGGACATGTGCAAACGACATCTCCGAGTTTATGGACAAGGACTGTAAGGACATTGAATTTTATCCAGAAATAGAGTTTGCAAACTTCTACAAAGATAATCCCGACAACCTAGGTGGGTTAGAAATGCTAAAGGAAAAGGGTGTTGTATTTGAATTACTTGAAGGTGAAGAGAAGTGGGGAGCGTTCTTAGATGACGCGACCTTCGTGAGCTTAAACGACGTTGAAAAAAAGGAACTACTTGACAGGGCAAAGTCAGAAGCCAGAAAGATAAACGAAGTCAATGCTTTAAAAATCTTTAACAACCATGGACTAGGGAATACATCCCAGCCTTCAGGTAAATAAAAATCAATTATAGAGCAATATTCTCATTGTAAAAAGAAAAGAGAAATGGAAGACGTGGGAATCCTCAGCGTGATAATATCCGAGGCTTTAAGTAAGCAAGAAGCGATAAAGTAATATTCTCGTATAGCAAATTGAAAGTTGCTTAGCATTAGTCATTGATTACATTTGTAGCCTTCAACTATAGAAGCTCTACTGATTACAAAAGAGTGCATAAAATGTGTTTCATATATTTGAAGACGATTCTATAAACTCTGCAAACATGTATCTTAGTCCTTAGACAAACAAGGCCACATCTAGGCAACATTTCATAAAACAAAATAGTCGCTTTTTAATTTTAAGAAACTAAATTGTGCTAAATTATGGACAACAACAGCTAGCATGAATTTATAATATTTCTATATACACAACGAGTCTTGGATGTAGATCTATATCGGATATACATGCAGGTGTATAAAAAAAGGTAATCCAACTTTGGCATGTTATCGCATATATTACGTTGAGCCATTTACCTTTTTTATACGAATAAAGATCAGGCCTTTAGCTGTCGAATGCTACCTTTCTTGTATCATTGCGATCAAAAGTAGCCAAATACGATCCGATTTAAAAATGCCGGCCGAAATCGCATTTTTCCAGCGTTGGGCATTGCATGTAAAGCTATTAGGGAGTTTACGATCTACGACGCGGCCGGCTCGACGACGCGCTTTCAAAACAAAGAAATTTGTCATGCAAGATAAAAACTGAATAGTTCGTGGTCCCATGCAGGGGTATTTTCAACGGCGTTGTCATGCCCAGCACAACGTTAAACTAAGCATTATCACGTCTTTCAAGCAACGTGAAAGCTTATTGCGACCCAAGACTCCAAGAGGTGTTACTTAAAGTCGAAATTACAGCAAACATTGCATCGCTTCAGCCGAACGTAGCAGTTCGTAAGGTTGATTTGAAAAAGTGTCAAATATTTATTACAGTAATCAAATTGCTTAGCGCTCATTCTTGAGCTGAAATTTAGGCTGCGTCGTTGATCCGGCCGCGTCGTAATCGTAAACTCTCTATTGTCTGATGGCGCAACGCATGTGTAAGCACAACCTCGTTCCCAAGTTCAATCTCGTTCCCTGAGCCTGCGATCCTCGGGAAGGAACGTGAGACTCTAGGATTATCCGTTTCAGGGAGGAATCTGATTGGCCGTTGATATGGAATGCGCAGTTCGATCTTAGCCAGGATTCCTTGGTCCTAGCTTCCGGCAACGGATTATCCCATTCGTATCACGTTCCGTTGAGCATCACGTTCCTTCCCGAGGATCGTAGGCTCGGGGAACGAGATTGCATCAAGTTTTGATAAATTTTTCCTCGGCCAACAAATGTTCGAAAATTGGAATAACATTTAATGTTTATATCCCAAAGGTGGAAAAGTGCGAAATCAACCGATTACTTTAAATCAAATCGTATTTGGTTATTTTTCATCGCAATCATTCCATAAAGATGTTATTTAACAGCTAAAAGCCTGATCTATATAAATACGAAAACAGAAAACCTATAAACGTAATAATTAACGCATGATAACATGTCAAAGTTGGATTACCTTTTTTTATATACACGCTGTATAGTAACTATTTTGTAGTTATTGTAATTTTTAAATTTTACACAATTCAGCCATAGTAGGCTGGCTGCAATGTAAAATTGTATCAATTAAACTATCTAAGGTAGTATCTATCTCATGTCTGTTCCCCTCGAATTAGTAAATTAGAGTCAGTAAACAAACTGGCACCATATATGTTTAGTGTATATGGATAATGATCATGGTGATGACATCGGCATCGTACATTTAAACAATTTTAGAGTATTTGATCATGGAACTATAATACGCATGCATATTTACTTGTTTCAACAGATGCGGATCCTAGTAAAGGACCTGCAGCGCAGCAAAGAACGTACTATTGTTACAGTCAAACCGGATGTTCTCTTGCGAGCAAGATTGCAATATTGTCCCACAATACTGCAATTTTGATAGGCAGATTGCTCTGGGCAATTTAGAACCGATGCGAACAAACTTTGAATTCATAAAAGATTGGTAAACATTAAGCCTCTGATTGGACTATTAGAAAAAGGGAAGCCAATCAAATAGTCTGAGCAACTTTTAGTCCAATCTATCAGAAGCTTTGTTTACAAATCTTTTGTGAATTTAAACTTGCAATTTGTTCGCGTCGGTTGCCGAATTGCTCAGAGCAATCTGCCTATCAAAAGTGCAATATTGTGGGACAATATTGCATTGTTGCTCGCAAGAGAACATCCGGTTTGACTGTAAAGACAAAACTGAGATCTAGAAGGTGACAATAATGATGACAATAACCATGGTATTTTAAAAAAGAGTTTATTTAAAATAACTTTGAACACAAATATCATATTTACTTATTTCAACAGATGGGGAACAGCAAAACCATTAGAAATGATAATGATGAAGATTAAGATGACAATGACGATGATAATAATATAGACTGAAATGGACATGTAGATGCATGATAATATAGATATGTACTATGTAGATGATATAAAATATAAACATGTAGATGAAAATATAGAGATGTAGATGATAATATAGACATGTAGACGATACTAAATAGTCTAGGCTAAATAATTAATATAAGTAAGCGTGATACTTGATGTAACTGCAAAGCCCCAATTGGGAGTGAACTGAATAATAATAAGTACTAGTTACTATATACTTAAAACATATAAAATGCATGACAACGTAGATGTGCTTGGCAGAACATCCTGTTGTTAAATATAGCCCTCACTGTATTGGTTTCATTTGTATTGCTAAATTATTAAAAAACCATTGGTGTTCGTTGAACGTTTATATTTAGTAGATATGACAAATATAACGGGATATTAATATCAATTTATGTCTATTTTAAAATGTGTAGTTGTTCAAAGCTGGATTAGCGCTAACCACTGATGCTATAACCCTGGGTTAAGAGTTAACATGCTGTTCAGGTTTGTGTATTTCTGCATGTGTGTTTATTTCAAGCATGCAGAAGATAAAACTTCGATTGATCCAGCCAAGACTTCTGGAAAAATATGTTCACATATTTTTATATTTAATATTTTCACATATTTTCACATATGCTTACATTAAATGTAGCTTTATAAAAAGTTTGTTCACAAACTCAACATATTGAGGGTACAATACAATTTGATGTATTAAAGGAAAATACATTTATTACGCCGAGGGGGGGGGGGATGAAGTCATGAAGATGTCTTGAAAAAAGCTCATATTTTTACAGGGCCCCTGTTGAGGTTATTGGTAAATTTTCGATGCCCCCCCCCTTCCAAGTTTTTAAAATTTTCAATGCCCCCCCTCTAGGATTCGGAATCGAAGGAGTACAATCCGGAATTCTCTCTTATCATAGACACAATTTGCAGTTCCTCAAGATGTCTGATATACTCAAGCATGTGCTTCTCCTCAACAAAAATACCGACCTGCTGGTTCTTTCACCTCACTAGCACCAGATGAAATGGCACCATCTTTAAAAAAAAACATTGTAGATTGGCTTTCAGGGCCGCGTTTACACAACGCGGGGCCCGTGGCATTTTCATCGCGCGGGGCCCCAAATTTTTGCCTTCTCTATAGACTATAACCTGGAAATTTACCTCGTTTTAAGCATAAATCGTAGCGACGTGGCGTTCGCTTCGCATATAGCAACTCTAAAGTCTGAGACCAAATTAGAGACAAGAGTAGTATATATTAACTTGGTATTTGAAATTTTTTATTTATAATTACTATTATATCCTTGTGGCATACAGCTATTTCAATCAAGGTTGTCCCCGAGCAAAGCGGAAAAGTCGAATACGAGCGCGGAAGGCTTGCTGGGAATCCCTAACTGAAAACCATTAATTTATATGCTATTTCCAGCAAGCCTTTCGCGTTCGTATTCGACTTTACCGCTTTGGTCGGGGACAATTACCTTAATTGAAATAGCTGTATATCACTTTGAAATGTTCCCGTTATCAATTTACGATGATTTGTAAATACTCTTTTTTCGAGATTTCATGAGCGCAAAGTCATTGATGAGTGAATTTATGTCAAGCTCACGAAGAATCCAAGTATCTCTCGGCAAGCTCGGTTTTCAGGAAGGCAGAGAACTGTAATAGCTCGTCTGAAAGACTCGGCTCAAGGTCACCTGGGTAAATTTTACAAAGCTGATAATTTGCACTCAGTGTCAGTTTGTCGTCAGGTAGCTCCTTCATAGTTCTCAAAAATCCAAACCTTGGCGCAACAGTGGCGTATGCTTCCTTACGTTTCTTCAACTCAGCAATCAAATTATCGATAATAACCAAAAACGTTGCCGTTCGAAACTTATCGGCAGGTGTAAGTTCTACTTCCGGAGCTGATCCTGGCGATTTCGTTTCATTTCGTCTTCGTAATGTTCGCATCCACTGAGCAATTTTCCTTCAGCCTCCAACTGCTCAAATTTTGGTCTCATATTTTTCACGTACTCTTCCAGGGATTCATAAATAGCAGCAGCCGAGTTAATGTCTTGATCCGCGGATTGAAGCAATTGGCTGTTACTGTTAAAACGCTTCAAGATACGGTGCCATACCAGAGTAAGTATGCCAGTCTCCAAACGATCCATATTAGAAGCGTGATTAAGAGCTTCTTTTCAAGTGTCTCCCGTCTGCTCTGGGTCTGCAGCAATCTCTTTCAATCCAGCTTTGATTTCTTCGTAGCCCTTGACCACGGCTTTAACAGCGGCGGCATGCGCTGACCAACGAGTGTCTGACAGACGTTTGACTGTGGGCAAGCCTTTTTTCTTCAGCCGATTATGGACTACTTTCCAACGGTGTGTTGAAGCGACGAGCAAAGAATATAAACCTTGGACAAAGCCAAAAAATCCGACAGATTCCAGACAGCAACTTACTGCTGATTGGCCGACTAAATTGAGAGAATGTGCGGCGCAAGGCACATACTCGGCAAGTGGGAACTTTCGGTGAATAACAGCTTGCATACCGTTATATTTTCCACTCATGTTGCTGGCATTATCATATGATTGGCCCCGACAATCAGCAATGTTCACTTCATGTCTTGTTAACTCTTTCTTGACAACCAGTTTCGTATTACATTTCGATACAATTTTTCTAATATAAATATCTCCGCGAGTATTTACCCCCCTTTTAAATAAATGCCACCATTGAAATCCTCATAAAATAACCTTTCGAACGGGGGGTCAAGTGCCGTCAAAACATTACACAAAGCGAAACAATCATATATTTACTCACCGCTTGGCCAAAGATTCTAAATTTCATATCCACAAGATCTTGAATACCCCTTGAACTTTTCGTCATTTGCTGAACGGCTATACGCGTAAAATACTCTCTGTATTCAAGCGCTTTCGTGTAGAAAGTTTCGTATGTATACGCCGACTAGAAATATTTATTTTGAATTTTTCAAGATATCGGGTTTTACTCGCACTTGCGTACATTGCGCAATAATTGGCCAATAAGAAGCTCCTTTGGCCGGGATGACGTCAAACTCACACGTGTAGGTGCAATTTGACCTTGCGAATCCATTTCTGGCCTTTCCAGGGTCATATGATACAAACGTCGCATTGTTTTGACGGTTTTCAGACGTATTTCCGGTTGGGATTAACTCAATTCGAGCTCACAGTCGGACAAGAAATGGAAATATATTGATAAAAGATACAGATTTGAAGATACAGGCTTGCAAATAACACTCTAAATAGTGTTTTTGATGGGGATTCGAACAAGACTATTACAAAGACGATATGTGCGAAGGGGCCGAAGTTATTTTCAGCGAAATGTATGGCTAGTCTATATTTTGTTCAGACAATTGCGTAATTTGATACAATATTATCGTGTTTGACTTTCAAAGGCCCATAAATCGTTACAATGTTAATAATGACTATAACTATCGTTTGGAACTAGTCTATCTTTTATTTCTGAATCGATTGGTGGTATTTCTGTCTTCAAAGCATGCACTGAACCGAAAGTATGAAAATTTCGAGCCGTCGATCGCTCGCGATCGACGCAATTGGCCCCTGTTGAGAAAGAGTTAAAAAGCCAAGTAAACTTTCCACCAACAGTTTCCCAGTATGGCCCTGCATATCTAGGAAAGCCACAAAGCGTTCCACAGGACCCGATGGCAGAACGTACCGGACAATGTAAGTGAGTTGGTCAACATGAGAGATCTGGTGTGGAATCAACCGAAACAGGGAAATACTTGGATGCTTTCAGTTCGTCTAAAATATTTTGAAGAACTCGCTTGGCCATTAAATGGATGAACTCCTTGCAAACCGTATTGGAAAGATATGATGTATGTCCTTGGCCCTTGTTAGCTTTCTGATTGATATGCTGAGCCATAAATGGATCGAATTTGGCCAGTAGCTCCAGTGTGCCAAGGAAGTTACCGTTGTCGACGGAACCAATTATCTCTCATTTGTACCACGAAAAGCTAAGCCTCGCACTGAAAGGTGGCGGATAGTCTCTGCTACACGCTCTAAAACAGAACGCCAATAATCACGTTCTGCCTGTTCTTGCCGAATCAATGCGGCATCAACACGATTGCCTGCGTCGCTGCGCAGTAAAAGTTGAACTATAGTATTTCTATGTCCGGCGCTTTTTTCATGGCGTGAAATTGCTTGGGTAGCACGTTTCCAATCTTTGCATCCCAGTTTTCCAAACAATTCAACGTCTGTCATCACTTTACATGGGAAGCAGTAGATGGCTAGCATAGACGGTGAAAAACAAAGCCAGTTACGCGGATACTGCTGTTTTGTACACGAGTGTGCGAACGTGAATAAACTTTTCTGGCATTGTCGATTATACTTCTCTCCTTCAAATCTTGTAGACGTTGCACTGAAGTCGGCGTCCAGATTCTGCCATTCACTACAAGCTTCCTTTAGTATTCTCTCATATTTTCAGAAACAAGGGTAGGCCACAAGCCCAAGTCAGGTATAAGTATGAAGGACTGTTAAGGTTGGTTGTATATCAATATGGTCATCGTCGCAAACCGATTTACATTCAGCTGCAACTTCAGTAGTAGTATCAACATAATGTGTTTTGTGTTCCAATTCCTTAAAGATTTCAGGATTCAAATTATCTGCCAAATGAGTACCGCCGACAATGTCCACTGTCTCGAGAACCGCACTGTTACTTGTTTTAGTAGCGGAAAGCATTTCAGAAATTTTTGGCATTTTAGACAGAACTTTTTTTTCCCTTGCTGCTCGCTCTTCTTTCGCCTTACGTTTTCCTGAGCCTGACTGATATTTACGTCCCTTGTCGCGATCTCGGCCCCCTCCGCCACCAGCAGAATTCATTTTGTGCGGAGTTTACCAATTTATATCAGTTTACGTACAAAACATTCAATAGTAGATACGCATGACTGGCTCCTCAATCACTTTTATGCTGAACTTTTATGCTTTTATGCTGAACTTTTATGCTTTTATGCTGAAGTTATTTTTGGAAAATTACGTGATCCATAAATGATGTAACGCTCTAAAGTTAGTGCGCAATGTTTACGCATGGTTGCACAAGCATGACGCAAACGTGACTATGCATTTTCTCAGTAAAATGTTCTGGAACGTTCTATGTAACATATTGATTATTAAAGTAGGTTAACTTGTGACGGAACTCAGAAGTATTAACACAATAGCAGATTATAGTACAATTATCAAGCATAAACCCACATACAACGGACTGACTTTCTATGTATGGCGGTTTTACTGTAATGCACACACAATTAAGTGCTACAATGTCGGCGGAGTTAATTAAGTGGTTTACAATATATTTGTAAAGCTATATTCGTAAGTACTGTCCCCAAATATATCAAAGCTCTGCTGCTAACTAATTTATCCAGTGATGGATCTAGTGGCATTTGGCAAGTACATTAAGGGCCCCACGCCACCTAGGAGTAAGGCGCCCCGCTAGGCTAAAAATATAAATAATAATTAATATAGCATCATATACTTTTAGCTTAAATCGCGGGGCCCTGGAAGGTGCAGGACCCATGGCATATGCCGCATCTGCCACTGTGTAAAACTGGCGTTGCATGCAGTGTATATATGTAACAATGAAAGTATATTGATAACTTCTATGAATGACAAAGCTGACTTCATGATTACAAAATTATGAGTGATCAAAAGTAGAAACAAAAATAAATATATGTTATGAAAAATAGGTACGCAGTGCGTACATGTTGCATGCCATCTGAAACTTATGCGCTACAGCGCTTACATAAACCTTTGGTACAACTGGCGTGAAACTTAAAATATTGATCATTCAATAAGTTTAAAATATCAATATATTTATTGAAAAATAGCTATTATGTCAAAATAAGAAAACTTAAGATTCTCACGCGAATTAGCCTACGGTGGACCCCAGCAGAAACACGCGAATAGGCAATGTTTTTATAAGCGACCGTTAAGAGTTAGTTGCAAGCGACGGTAATAATAACAATAACAAGGACAAGGTGGGTCAAGGTTTTATCAACTAAATAACGTTATTTCCTTTAGCTTTAGCTTTATTGTAACTTTTTAAAGGTATAAAAAAACGTGAAAACGGTGAATTACTATAATAGATTGAAAATTATTATTATTTATCATTTTGACGTTTGAGTGATTGAAATGAGTTTATTTGCACTATACTATAGTATATCGAATGTCATGTTGAATGTCATGTTGAATCTTATGCGTACTTCACAATGGTTGCTATTTCGTTGTATAATTGTATTAAATTTCAATATATTTATAATTTAAATTATGTTTGATATTTATATATCATGTTATTTACAAAGTGTGCTGTAGTTTTGAAGCTTTGCACACAATATAATCAGTGCAAGCACAATGGCCCCATTTCAGTTTGAGTATATAAAAATCGAGTATTTTGATAGCGTTCGTGGCTTAAATTGAGGCTTTCACAATATATAAATATAAACGCCCGATAATTGATAAATATAAATCAGTGCGAGCACAACGGCTCCAAAATAACAACAAATAACAGAATATAAGATGAGCTAAAAACAGTAAAGCTTTACCTACCTCGATTTACTTTTCTAAAGCGCTCAATTATGTAAATTTTCGGCGAATAATCAATATTTCTTTGCGTTTCCTCGACGAAAACCCGGCATGAAAATGCTCGTCAGAAAAACTCGGTATTTGTCGTATTTTACGAACCTGCCACGTGACTGGTACACTCACCACCGCTCACCGCGACACGAAATTTAGAGCTATATGAAAGTTGCATGCCATATATGGCATGCAACAAAAAGTAAGGTAAATAGTTTATAGAGAAAATGGTATCTAGTTTGGGGACAAAACATAAAGGGGACGAAACGTAAAGGGGACTAAACCTAAAGGGGACGAAACGGCAAAGGGGACGAAACGGCAAGGGGACGAAATGACCAGATACCTTAATACTTATCCTGTTCTGCTAGGCTAATTTTATTCATAGATTCTACAGATATATCAGTTTCTATAAATAAAACATTTAGATAACAACAGAATTATTAAGTGTTTGCTACTGTATGTTTGTTTGTTGATATATTCAATTCTGGGGTCCTGAGGTCAATCCAGTTGTTGGTTTGAGGTACCAAGTTCATCTCCTGAGGAGCGAGGGTAAACAAATTTGACAAGTGAACAAAAATCCCAAAACCAACAATCCAAAAATAAAACTTCATGTGGTTGGGGAATGTGTAAATTAGTCATAGGCATATAATCAACATTTAAGGCCTAAAAATTTAAGGCCTTCACAAAGGCTAGGAATGAGTACCCTCTGCACAAATCACCTCCCCTCACCGCAATAATGCCATGAGATTCATTCTGTATTTATATTTACCTCTTTCCCATTGTATATTTCAAGAAACCATGGTGAACCCAATAGTAAAGATATGGCAGGAAAATAAAGAGACTTCGTGAAGCACAGCATGGCAAGAATCATGACTATCACAGGCCGAACATTAGATATTTTGCTGTCAACAGCCTCAGGTTCAGTATTAGATTCAGTTTCATTTTCATCAATTTGGTGCTGGTTTATTTCATGAAGTCTTTCCCTCCTAACATAGCCAACCGTTTTATCTTGCACTTCTGTAGGCTCATCTTGATGCTTGGGAACATTTTCATTAAGTATTTTTTCTTTGTGACTATGTGCAGTTGTTTGACCAGGAAAACTCTCATCAGTTTGTTCGTAAGTTTTATTAACTCTTTCTTTCCTAACATAGCCATCTGTTTTATCTCGAATTTCAGTAGGTTTATCTTGATAAACAAGAGAATTCCCATGAATTAATTTTTCCCTTGGTGTGGTAATTGTACTATCTAAAGTTGTTTCACAATTCAGACCAACTTCTGTTGAACAATTATTCAGAAGTTTCAAAACACTCTCATTGCCAAAATATGTTTGTTTCTCTACATTTTTTTCATGTTTAACATCAGCTACGATACTTCCAGCTAGTTTCTTTATTCTGTCTTCTGCATTTTGTAAAATCTTTCTCTTTCGAAGTTCACGTCTTCTTGCTGCGGCATCCATTTTCTTTTGCGAACCCGCGTTCCTGTGTAGGAGTTGTGAAGTACTTTATGTAAGACCCAGAAAACAGTTTGAGAAAATTCAGCACAAGAGGGTCCTGAAGGGGTAAAATGGGAACTGGGATTTGCTTATTTTTTGGGTGGGAAAATGGGATTTCATGCACTGGGACTGGGATTCATCAGCAAAAAAACAATAGAAAATGGGAATGGGATTAAGATTTGAGCAGGACAGCCACTGAGATGATGGGATTTGTGCTCTGGGACAATGGGATTTAGTCAAAATTTGGGCTGGGAAATGGGAATACGACCCCCCCCCCCCTTCAGGAGCCTCGCACAAGTCTCCGGGATCATAGATGAATAGCATCAATTGTCAAAAGTGCACAAATAGATGATAATCATCTACCCTGGTTCCAGAGGTTTATTTTTATTATTTTCATTGCGAAGGGGATCATTATTTTCATTGCCTATTGAAACCAAACCATCCTACAATTGATTGTATAATCTCAATTTTTGTGGTTATATAATTATATGCTCAATTTCATTCCTATATTTAGCACTTTAGCGAGATTTCAATATTACCGATTAACTTTACATAAGCAAATAAATTGACTTCAGCATGCAGTTCTGCTTGTAACTTTGTAATCTTGCAATTATTTAACTTATTAAGTTCTTTATCTTGTAATTCAGTCATTTCTATTATCCCCCTCTCCTAATTAATACATTATCTCACTACCCGCCCCGATTAGCTTGGCTACTTGCGGCTAATGAAAATTCATGTAAATAGATCTGTAACTAGAAATAAATATGTGTACTGTATGTGTATGCAGGGCCGTCCTCAGGAAATTCTTCAGGGGGGGTGTTAATAAGGTCAATTCAACCGACTGGTCCAAAAAAATTTTTCCGGATCAGAAATTTTTGGTCGACCTCCCCCCCCCCCCGTCGCCAAAAAAATTTCGGTCAGTGTACCATTTTAGGGGTCCAAAAATTTTTCCGGACGTACAAAAATTTTCCGGAACATTCAAAAATTTTCCGAACATAACAAATTTTCAACATTTTTTTACATTTTTCCGAAATTTTTACATTTTTCATCAAAATTTTCCTAAAATTCCCACCACGTTCTTGCCCTTTGCGCCAAAAATATTTAACCCAAATAGCAGTTCTACCGACTCAATAGCAGTCCTACCGACTGAATAGCAGTTCTGCCGACTGAATACAATTACTGGGGGGGTGTCACACCCCCCCACACCCCCCCGTAGCTCCGGCCCTGTGTGTATGTGTAAATAAACCTCTGGTTGAAAGCGGCAATTGATTCATCGAACCCTATTTCTCCAACCTCCTTCCCAGTGCTTTAGTGTGAGGACGAGGGGAGAGACGAGAAAATGAATGAATGAATCATAGATATATGGAATGAATGAATTTATTAGCGATTCCCAGCAGCCTTTCGCGCTCGTATTCGACTTCTCCGCTTTGCTCGGGGGACAACCTTAATTGAAATAGCTGTATATACCGAGCAAGCGAGGTTAATAAAAAGTTTATTATATGGCATTTATTATAGGCATTTATACTTGAAACAAACAACAAATGCACGATTTGTGAATGCATATTAGTAGTGTGGCACACATTTGGTCGAATAAAACAAAAATTACCAATGTATTCCTTCTTTTCACGTACTAAAAACCATTCGCAGATATCTTATTAATAACAAATTAAATTATAATTTTCAAATTTTCAATTAGTTTTGCTGTTTTGTTTTAAAATGCAAGCGGTTTTTTTTGACGTGATGGACCGCCGGTCCATTACGGGAAACTGATAATGGACAGCTGAAAGTGCTTCTCAGCTAATCACAGTCTGCCATTTCACCGGAAGTGATACTTGCCATATAATAAAAACTCTTAATAGAGGGAATACAGCAAATGTCAAAACGTCTTGTCCAGTTCGCCTAACAGAGTCGGCGTACCACGCCATGCCTTTGTCCTACCAAAGTTGGAAATTTACCGCCACCCTGAGTTAGATTTGATATAATTTTGTTCGAGCACGATGCAATCTATGTTTAATCTCTCTATTAAGCCCTCTGACTTATTTAGTTTTCAGACACCTTTGAAGGGGAGGGCCTTATTGGAGAGGGATTGAAAGAGGGGGGGGGGGGGCTTATTATAGTTTATCTGGGGCCAGTTGTACGAAGGCCTGGTGGCGCTATTCAAAGGGTAGTGATTTTTTTAGCCTTTCTAAAATTGGCCGTTAATTTGTAAAATCCAGGTTAAGCTGTTTATAAATAATACTTGTTTTTACTAATTGGGACGTCCATATCAGTTGTGCTTTAAGGACTTTTAAATTGTTATTACACAAGTATTGAAAGCTCCACTTCGTAATTCGATCTATACGTTCTATTATACACCCCTCGGTGTTGGGATTTTTCAGGATTTTTTTCGGATTCGTAGAGATTTTTAGGAATTTGTAGAGATTTCATAGGTACACCAGGGGCCGGTTGCATAAAATTAATCACTTTTTTAATCGCTGCTTTGTTGTTAAATAGTGATTAACTCTCAAATACGCGCTTCTTATTGGATGACGTTTCCACTAACTATAGTTAACTTTAATCACTTTTTTATACAACCGGCCCCAGGTTTTTTGAAATGGTACGCAACTCGTTATTATATTCTTTCATATTATCAGAATATATTTAAAATATATTATTGTTTATATACTATTATTTTAAAAAGAAATCTGTCCTGATAATACCTCGTACAATATTAGAACATTGCCATTGGCTTTACTCAGTTTCAATTGTAGCACTTTAATTTGCCTGGGCAAGCTGGTATACGGAATGACATAGGTGTCAGTTCTGCATCAAGGTTAAATGATGGTTTATTTGCAAAGCATTGCAGCCAAAAGCTGAATTACGCTAAGAATTATATATAGTTTAAAATTAGAATAACTATTAAAAAATTGAAGTTTGGAGCCAAATGGCAATGTGCGTATAAGTTGACTATAATTGTCTACTACAATAACTAGGCACGCATTTTCAGTGCATTGTGAGTTATAAAACTATTCCTAAATCGGTCTGTTTTAAAAAAGTTGATTTTTAAAAAGTCGTTTCTTCCTAAGCTTAATTTGGTATTCGTTTACAGGTGGTAAAAGTTTGTTCAATTTGTGACTTGGGTCGCTAATAATTTGCTGGAATAGTTTGTCTGTTAGTTGCTGTCTTCGTGCTTCTAGAGGGACCAACTCCGCAACAGAGAGAGATTCGTCATATGATAAGGCTGGAAATATTATCCGCATCGCGCGTTTCTGTATTCTTTCGATGTCTTTAACAAGGTAATTTAACAGGTCTTATAAAAGTACAGTAAAAGGTAATAAGTTCCTTACTGCCCACGTTCGAACGTTTTTATATTTGGCTCAGAAAATACAAACGCTTATTCGCTTTCTTCATAATAACAGTTATATGGGTATTCCACTTAAAATCGTTAGATATATGCATGCCAAGGAGTTTTACACTTTCAACGACCTCCAGTTGCTTATTGTTGATGGTAATAGGATCGAAATCGGGAGGAGATTTACTGAAGCTAATACGTAACTCTTTACACTTGGACTCGTTTAACGTAAGTTTATCAATAGAAATATGTCGTGTAAGTTCATCAACTTTCTCTTGTATATTGGATTCGTTGTTTCTTTCAACAATTTCATACATCGTTGTGTCATCGACGTATTTCCAGAGTTCCGAATCTTGGATTTTCAAGTCATTTATCATGATAACGAATAACCACGGCCCAAGTTTGGTATCCTGGGGAACCCCAGATGGAATAGTTCCCCATTCAGAATAGCAGTCGTTACCAAGTTTGACACGTTGTTTGCGACAAGTAAGAAAGTCAATAACCCACAAAACAATGCTTTCAGGAATATCATACGATTTTAGTTTGTCTACAAGTATATGGTGATCGATCAAGTCTTTGCTTTCTTAAAGTCAACTAATACTGTTCTGACATGCAGTTGCACCACTACCGTCAGTTGCTTTATTCCACGAATGCAGCATGCTGATCAGGGCCTGGGTGGTGTTACTACCAGGTATCGTCCCAAATTGATTTGGATCCACCTTCTTCAGAACCGCAGGCTTTACAAATTCTTCTACGACAAAGTCTTCCGCAACTTTCGACAAGATGGGTGTCGAGGATATAGGACGAAGATGGCTATTTACGTCAAGAATTGGCCAATTTCCACGATGATGGGAGTCGAGCTTCCAAAAAGGAACGGTTTAATATAGTTGATACTGGCGCAGCAAATATGTCGGCATTGTCTTTTAAGAGCCAACTCGGTATACCATCGGGTCCGGTTGCTTTGGTTGGATTTAACGTAGACAGCTTCTTGTTAACAGAAAACTCGGACACTTGGAGGCAGCAACCTTCGAACACTGGACTGTTTGGCACAAATTCTTCGGTTTGTAAAGGTGCAAAATGACTCATAGGGGCAAGGAATGCCTCATTGATAACGTTGGCAAGAACAGTATTGCTGACAGTTCCCTCTCCTTGATCACAACCAATATGCTGTAGCGTAGAGATTAGGTCTGTCTAGGATGAGTTGACAGTTGTCATTCCACTTAGCTTTTTCACTTCTTTCCACCACGATGCAGGTTTGCACTCCATCAAATGCTCGACTTTGAACTTGTAATACTTAGCACGGCACATTTTTCGCTCGCGATGTACTCGATTTCTCAGTGTGCGAAATAGAACTTCGTCTCCCTGGTCTAAAGCTTTCTGGCGCTTGCGAATCAAACATTTGAGAGACTGATTGATCCAGGGTGGCTCGCTTGTTACAATGGTCTTAGACTTCAGAGGAAGTAACCTATCCATCCCGGTATTAATGATTAATTCCAGGAGCTTTTCCTTGTCTTCACACGACCTCTGACTGTTGATTAGTGTTGAAATGTCAACTTCCTCTAGATACAAGCGCATTGCAAGGCGCTTCGAAGGCCGAACGTCCCTTGACTTCACGGTGATCTTGGGTTTAGATGAGAGTACGAGAATATCGAAAGTACGAGAAAATACGACAGGGGGAATAAACGCGGAAGAGGACACTAATCTCGAGGGGGTGATAAAACGCGGATGATCGAGATGATAAAAATGTCGATGATGGGAAAAAGGCGGATGGCGGGTAAATCACTTATGGGGGATATCAAAGCTAGTTAGATTTCCGAACCCCGAAATATATTTCGGAATTTCTAAAATCCCGGTGTATTCCTTTGAGTGGTATTAGGTGTGCCCATACAGGTTAGGTAAGCCGCCTAAAGCTAGCCATGCCAAATGCTTTGTAAAGAGAAGAGTTACTGTGGAGTTATATCCCGTGGAATGAAATATAAATAATAATAGTCAGAGTAACAGAGGTGTTTCGATTCGACCAGCAATGGTCGATGCCACTGGTGCAGGCTATGACAAATCACAATATATAAATAATACAAACGCACGATTCAGATGCATTGATATCTAATATACAAATTCAGAGCCGACTGAATATTTTACATACATTGTGTGTTAACACTAACGTTTACGAATATAGGCTACACTCGTAACTACAAAAATATACTTTCAAATAATTTCAGTCCAAACAGTAAATTCAAGTATAAAAAAAAAGTGGTTAATTAGCCTTTCTCACCGTCGATTTCCCCGCCATTTTCGGGGTACTACCTCTCCCACGTTTGAGAGTCTCACGAAATTTGAGCGTTTGAGCACCACGAGTCGCTTTTTAGGTTAAAAGTCGCTTTTCAGGTTGTTTGAATTGTCTAAAATCTTTCACGAGGGCAGACAGTACCGCAAAAATGGGGGATTTTGGCCTTCGTGAGAAAGGCTATAGTGCGAATGTGTGTCGTGTCTAAAGTGCATGTGTTCGATTTATGTGTCTATGCATGGTTATTCAATTATAAAAAATATATATAAAATTAATGCATTGACAATTTAATATATACAATCTAATGGACTTTTTACATGTGGAATTTTCAGTCCGGCTGCTGAGATCTACTGGAATAAAATATTAGAAAAGTCTATATATATATATATATATATATCTATAAAAATAATTTCGAGCATACTTTTCCAAGCTTCTTGTACATTTTATCCAATCTATGTTTAGGCAGTTTTAAATATCCAACGTATTTTTTTGCCAGTTTTAACCACAAATATCAAATGCACAAGTCATGCATTCAAAACTCTTTTAACATGCATCTACAAACTATACGAGCAGCCGGGCTGTTGCCATCTATACTTGGGCCGGTAAGAACGCGTTTTGATACGAACCAATTGGATGTCGAAATCTATTACCTTTTTAGTGTGAAGAAATATTTTCGATTCAGTCATTTTATAAGTGAATATTTATGAAAATGTCTTGTTATACATATGTGTATATGGTTAAATGTAAATGGTACATGTCTCTACAGTGCATAATAAATAAGCTAACAGTTGAGAAACGTGATTCTCTACGTATGTGCAAAGAAAGCTGGAATTAAAAATCTTCATCGATGTTTGAGAAATGGCTTTGGATATTGACTGCAATATAGGCCAAGCCCTTCCATTCTATCCACTGGCGATATATTGCTTAACAATGGTTTGGTTTGTACAAGCTACCATATATATCCTGTTTACTCCAGTTATCAGCAATTGTTCTTAATAGACACTTTCCAAATTTGCGTGCACGAGCGTACACGAAACAACCGCTGCTTGAAATCGAAGAATGACATTCATTGTAAATAAGTAGTTTTTATTGTCAGCCAGCAAATTCGGGAAGTGTCTACTGTTCTGGGATTGTTCTACGATTTCAAATATCCACTCCCCGCATATCTACTTCTTTAACATGAACTACAGACTTGTTGCCAATGTACTGTGTTAGTTATAAAATTGGTTTGTATTCCGAGGAATGAAACTAGTGCTTTTATTTTGACTGTGTTGAGACGGTTGAAGCTTGTGACCTAAATGAGAAAAAGATACGGAAATATTAATGTTTTGTAAATACTTAAGAATCAATCCAGAAAAGAATTATGGAAATAAATTAAGAAACATGTTCATTGGTACGCATGTTTGCCAAAAAATAGTGCAGTGACTGAACAGTCATGTCTGGAGTGTGTTTAAATTAAAGCTTGAAGTGGTTTATATAACACTAATTATACAGCATAAACAGCGACGCCGGAGCGAGGGTAGGGCACAGGGGGGCAATGTTCACGTAAGGGCAATCACTAATTAATATTTCGTTTCCGAAAAAATTTTTTGGACTCTTAATTCACCAAAACAAGGGCAAAAATTTTTCCGGAACCTTAATTCACCAAATTAAGGGCAAAACATTTTTTAAAGTTAACCTAATTTATGACACAATATTCCAGACAATTTCACGTATATTACATACTACGTCCAATTTCACGTATATTATATACTACGTCCATTTCACCCGTAATTCATACTTTTTAATCGTTGTAAGGGCACTTTAATCGTTGTAAGGGCACGTATCTAAGGGCACTTTCGCCTCCCCCCCCCGCTGCCCCCTTACTAAAGGGCAAGGGGGGCGATGCCTCCCGCCTGCGCCCCCCCCCTTTCCGGCATCCCTGAGCATAAACGACGGTTCGTTTAACTTATATACCTGCACGGACGCGAATGCTGCTTGTATGATTCAACGTAAACAAAACGTTCATGTTCCTCGATATATTTTAAGAAATTTTGCGAGAAAAATGAAGTTAAAGATATGTAAATCAGCAGGATTTTGTGTCAGGTATGCATGATTACCGTCACGGTTAAAAATTCAAATTACGTACCAGTTAAGAAACATAGGTCGTCCAATAAAGCCTTGTGGTCCTGGATACGGCAACCATTGTTCTGGTGCAGGGGGATAGCTAGCTGAGGTGTTGGTGTATGGCGGGGCGGAGGAGAACTGGGCTGGAGGAAGATCTCCATGTTGAGGAACAGCTGGACTTTTAGTAAATGTACTAACAGGAGGTAAGGTGAAGTTAAAATTGCTTGATGATGATGGATTAGTACTCGGCGACTGCGGCACACTAGGACTGGGGAGGGGTGTTCCGTGACCTGTTTAAAGACAAGAGCTTGATGAGAAATTAGAAAATGAAGGATGAAACTTCTGCCGGAGTTGTCAGAAACGGATATTCCTGAATTTCCCTGTATGAATCTTCGCTAAAAGTGCTTGGAAACATGTGTGCAACAAACAAAAGTACTTGATTGTATTTATGTGTATTTACTGTAGGCTAAGTGTACCCCTTAACTGGCCTAATAGCCGAATCCATATTAGAGACGGGAAACTCGTCTTAGACGGGAAACTCGTCTAATATGAATCCGGGAGCAGACGAGTTTCCCGTCCGAACTTTCCCGTCTAACTTACCCGTCTAAACAGACGGGAAAGTTAGACGGGAATCTCATCTAGACGGGAAACTCGTCTTAAATTCGAATTTACCCGTCCCTAAATTCATATTCAGACGGGTTTTCGCAGACGAGTTTCCCGTCCCTAATATGAATTCGGCTAATGTTAAGCAGTGTCGACATTGTCAAAATATTGATAAACAAAAAAGTATGAACTTTTATGTCCACCATTTCTCCCTCAGAAGTCACATTGCTTTGAAAAGATCATACAGAATGAATTCTATATTCCGAAAATTGTCGCGTACGAACGTTTGCCTGCACGTATGTTATACATATACATAGCCCGCGTGGCAGGCCCTCAATTTTATGGGGGCCTGATTTGCAGCCCCCCATAAAATTAAGGGCCTGCCACGCAGGATAACATATACAGTATTACAAATTTAAAAACTACTAATAAACTTGTAATCATTATTTTTCTGTATTGGTGCAATGTACTCAAGTGAATATGATGCTTGTCATGTACTCTGAGTGTATATCCACACCGGGCAAGCTTGAAAATATGCCTGGCCACGGTGGGAATCGAACCTACGACCTTTGGCATACTAGCCCAATGCTCGTGCCAACTGAGCTACTGTACGCAGTCCGATCGGTTCGAGTATGAGATATTTCAGAACTGAGTCTAGTTCCTTCTATATTAGTGCAATCTAGTAATCATGATTTTTTTCTGTGTTGGTGTAATAGTAAGTCGCTACTCTGGCCGCACGGCGCGGCAGAGAGCAATTGACTGTATCGTTTAAGCACCGCAGCGTTATTCGAGTTTCTAGTGTTCGACTGTGGCGCTGATTGTTACTGGTGACCGTGGTGGTTTATGAAATGGAAATTTGTATACGACAAAAAGAAATGCCAGCAACGAAGTAAAATATAAAATCGCTGAAATACATGCGATAATAGTTCCGAGAATTGTTAAAGATTGCAATTTCGTACCCAGGATGTTTTGCTACCGCGCTTTTAATCGAGGGCGGCGCTCAATTGGGTGCGGCGCTTAAACGAGTGAGTATGGTATGTATGTATGTATGTAAACTTTATTTAAAGACGTTAGCCTCGTCAACGATTTGTTGATTTTCACGAGGGACGTCTGTTACTATTAAAAATTACAAATATGATATAGAAAAGAATAAAGAGTTATATACAACTATTTACAATACAAGAATTAAGTTCCAAACGGTGTGACCCATATTTCTAAAGCATGCATATACAGTATATTAGAAGATGTTAGCGTGAAACTTTCAGGCAGTTTTTAAAAGAATAAATTGATTGCGCTAGCTTCGCATCAGAAGGAAGACTATTCCACAATTTAGCTCCGCTATACTTAAAGCTTTTTTTTAGAAATTCTCGTTTTGGCTTAGCAAGGGTAAGGTCAGTATAAGTATTGCGAAGATTATAACTGGTTTGAACAAGGTCCCTTCTCGTTAGAGCATCCTTCAAGTTCGGCCCAGCGCAATCATTCAGGACTTTATACATTAATGTGGATTTAGTTGTACGTTGTCTTATCTCTAAATTTTCCCAAGCAAGGGATCGAAGAACATCAGCAGACCTTATTTCATAGCTGGCGCCGGTTATAATTCTCGCTGCACGGTTTTGGAACTTTTGAAGCTTATCTTTCAGCTGTTGGTTACAGACGTCCCATAATGGACTACAATAATCAAAATACGGTTCTATCAAAGCTCTGTAAATGGTATGCAGGGTATTTATAGGAACATATGGCTTAATTCGTTGCATTGCTCCTATGCCGGCCCCAACTTTCTTACAAATCATTTCAACATGCTCATGCCAATTAAGGTTTTCATCAAGTTTAACCCCAAGGCATGTGTATGAATGAGCAAGAGTTATAAATTGGTTATTCATCATTACTGGAATATCATAAGTCATAGTATCAGTATTATACTTTGAACCGATATACATTAATTTGGTCTTAGTTGGGTGGTGTTGCAGTTTATTTCGAGCAAGCCACTCACAGACTTTTTTCAGGTCATTATTTAGATTTTCAGTAAGTTCCTCAATAATTTTGGCAGAAGTAGAAATTTGAGTATCATCAGCGTATAGGTGTGGCGAAGTTTTTTCGAGGCATTCGGGTAAATCATTAATATATAATAAAAACACCAAGAATTGATCCCTGCGGAACTCCGCACACAATCGTTTTAGGTGATGACATTGCACCGTTGACAATGCATGCTTGCTCTCTATTAGTTAGATAGGACTTAAACCAATCCAGTTCCACATTTTTTATTCCAAATTGATCATTCATCTTTTGCAATAAGATTGTATGATCAATAGAATCAAAAGCTTTTCTAATATCAAGGAAAACAACACCACTCAACTGACCATTATCCATGTTCTCATAAAGTGTGTCACACATTTGAATGAGTGTTGTTAAAGTTGAATGCTTAGGCCGAAAGCCAGATTGATGTTTAGATAGCAGCGAATTATCATTCAAAAACTTATAAATCTGGTTGAAAACCGATCTCTCTAGTATTTTACTGACAATAGGCAATATAGATATCGGTCGGTAATTTTCACATCTTTGTCTATCATCAGATTTATAGTAGAGTTATAGTAGAACATTTATTAATAATACATTAATACTAACCACTTCGTGGATTTTGAGCATCACTCTGTGACTGTGCCATGTTTCCAGAGCTAAGGTTGATCACTCGTGGAGTTGGGGATTTCTCGTGAATAAACCCAGTTGGTGACTGAATATTTATAACTGAATTACTGTTAGAACTCGGTAAACCGTTGATTGGTTGACCTCGGTTGTTAACTGGAGCCACATGCATGTTATTTCCTAAACCATCAAAGCCATCTTGTAACATTTGAGTTTGGATCACCGCCATTTCATATCCTAGAGCAAGATACGAATTTGTTTGGAGGTTAACCCATTGTTAGCCGCAATGAGAGCTATTTTGTTATTTTAATCTGTCTAACTACACTAATGGTTTTGCTCATTAAACAAAAAGAAATTATTAAAAAAAAGGTCAGCAAGTTTAGATTAGGGTTAGATTAAGATTATATTAGGGTTAGACGGTTAGTGGTTAGAGGTTAAAGTTGGGGTCCCCATGACAAATTTGATTTTGAGAAGATAATATAAAGTGAACAAGATTTCGTTGATAGGGATGCAACTACCTGAAAATATATAAGTATATAAGTTTGAAATTCTCCTTATATATTTTCACCAACGAAAGCTTGTTCATTTTATTGGCACTACCTACACTGGCAAAGACAGTCCAGACAAAAAAATAATAATATACAGCACATTTCACGAGTTACCAGTAGTTTTTTATTTAACAAAAAGTTCCAGGCTTTAACCTTTTTACCATATCACCTAGCGAATATCTGAAGAATTTAAAGAAAACGTAATTACCTTGTTGTTGAGGCGAGAGACCGGGAACTAATGAAGGCTCTGATACAGTATGCAATTCGGTTAATTCTGATTTCACATGAATATTACTCTGACCATAACTAATATCGACAGGAGTCACAGCATTACTGGAGACCATTGGGTAGGGCACGTATGGTGGGGGTGGGATAATTGTTGATGTACAGAGTTGTGGTGAGGTGGGTTTATCCATAGTATCCTTTGGGTCAGTGGTGTGATCTTTATTAAGCCAGACCTAAAGATTTCATATAAAAATCAATTGTTAGTGAAATGATTGACATGAGTAAAGCCCTAGAAAACACTGTTGCAGAAACGGAATATATTCTTCTCATGAAGCCAGGAATGTTTCGGAAGGTTCAGAAACACATTTTGTGAACAAAATTTCTGGTTTCGAAAAAAACGACAAATGTAGTAAATTGGCTCTACGTTGTCCAAGTGTCAATATGGACCATATACAGAAATACTGGTGCGTACCATTCTTTCGAAAGCAGACAGACACTAAAACTGATCAAATTCAAAAGAATTAAAGGACGAAGCTCAGGCTACGCGTGAATGGAACGGTCCAGTAATTATGCTGCATGAACTTGGGGATTCAGCGTCGGCCGTGACGTTTCGAGGGAAAACCCTTCAGAATATTTAATATAGTAGGAAGAAACAGATAAAGACACGTGTCTCGAGTGAGAATAAACACGTGTTAGCTCATTACGTATTATATTTATTCCTGAAACCACAACCTATATTTTTACGTCGAAGTTGAACTAAACTTAAAGATGGTATTAATACAAACCTGGCTTCTCAGCTGTTCCGCATATTCCATTCTGTTTGCTAGTTCATCTCGACTAAATACATCATGGTAGTTTGATTTATTAAATTCATTCTCAAGAGCCTCAAGCTGCACTTGAGCAAACGAACGTCTTGGTGTTCCTGTGTTCTGACGACTTTCTTCAACATCCTCACCGTCGGAATGACCACTACCTAAAAGGAACGAAAAGAACAATAATTGGGTGGCATCAGATGCACGCGTCGTGGATAATGAACAAGAAATTCGTAGACCTGGAAAAATGTGATAATCTTGGAATTCTGAACTGAAGAATATGTATCTTTATAGCAACAAGATTGAGGCACATTTGTTAGAGAATCAAATAACTCACATACAATAAATATACATAGAAATAAACAATAAATAGACAATCTTTATTGTTGCACACATAATGAATTTACGCATGCTCAAATGTTTCATTGTCTTATATGCACTTTTGAGGAACAATTAAAAAAGAAAATTCAGGATCCGAGGAACATTAAATACTTTTTCCAGATTTGAAAATACGTTTGTTGCAAGAAGTAGATACATAGAGTTATAACGAAACAGCAATTTCAACTGGTTTGGCATTTATGCGCAAGATGATGTAAACTGACATAAAATGTAAAATTTGATGAGAACGTAGATTGGTGACGTGCAATTTCTAGTTATATTGCCTAGTATAGTTATATGCATATACTATAGTATAGTTGTATGCCCATGCAGTATAGTTAAATTACCTGGGATAAAATCTTTATCCGATTTGCAGATATATTGAATTTTCTTCATGATTTATAAATGATATTTTGATGATGATTATAGCATGTTGTTACGTAAGATAAACAAATTTGAATATTGTCAATCATCACATGCATGGTTGTTAAACTTTTGTGACAGATTTTCATTTTGCACATCGAATGTATGTAGTTACTTGTCTTTAGAAGACTTTGCGATCTACACAAATAACTCTCTAATCTGCAATACTCCATGTTCTAAATAGTAAATCAGTACAAAAGGAAGTTTTATCAAATTGACTGTTTGGCAACTTTTGTATGAAACCATAATTAGACAACATGCATGATATGCGGCGCATGTTACAATGTAATTCGCTTGTAATAGCCGATATATATAGATAGGAGCAGTTTGACACGATCCAATCGGATGGGATTTACTTCTTTGACTTGTAGCCGTTTAAATGTCTATTATTTAAATGTTATGTGTTTTTGCCGGAATTATACATTCAAATTTTCTCCAATAGTTTCAATAATACTACGGTAATGACCGAGGTAATGACTAATGAACATAATATAGTACTGAATTAATATAGGGACTTTGGGCATCTCACTCGATAGACTACATGAGTCGTGAATTATTTTGATCACATCAAAACAAAATCATCTCGTCATACAGCGCGATACAGACCAGTGCCAGTCAAAGACTCAAAGAGGCACTTCACGTTTCAGACAAAAGCTCGGCCACCAAATTACAAATACACGAATATATAATCGTTCCACCAAATCATGCGCGAAGTTCACATATAACATCCCGATTGTTTCAACTTCGATTAAATAATTTCTTAAATCGTTTTTAACAAATTGAGAAATCCATAGCGTTTCAGCAAACCAAAAAAATTCGAACTGTATACATATGCTGTAAAATGTTGAGACAAACAGTTGTTGACACAAATTTGCGTCTCTTAAATAACTTATAATTACAGATATACAAAACATTTCCCAGTTCACGTGCAGTCAAATTTCACCTCGGCGGAGAAGGAAAATTTTGCCCCAGGGGATACAACCCCCCTGAAACATTTCAGACACCCACCATCCCCCATGGAAAGGTTGTGTTGTCCTGAGATTGACACCTGGATTACGAATTCACACCATGGACATGGATAGGTCTGCATTTGTCTTTGCTTTAAGAACCGAAAATTTCGTTTTCAGTTTAGATCATATAAACAAGCACCGCATGCGACACAACACATTCTTCAACTCTCGCATTTGCATATCACATAGGAGGCATTAGTGATAGTCATACAGCGTGCGCATCTCATTACACTCGACCCGTGCTTTATTTATACATAAACTTCCCAACTGCTGTTTTCACTAAGACTATTATCACATACGAATTTGACTGAATTAGTGAATAGGAACTAATTTAAAGTAAAGACTCATACAATTACCTGTACTTTCAGTGCTTTCAACCGAGTGTTTTCTCTTCCCGTTATGCAAGTTCTGTATTTGAGCGAGTTGTGGCATAGCCAACAGACCACTTATAGAGTAAGAAGGTCGTTGAATTATGTTATTCATGTTTATGTCTTTGAGATCACTGATTGATGTAAGCGGGCCATTTAAATGGCCATGATCAGAGCCGTTTACAACCGAGGGTCCCTTCTCAGCGATCTTATTCCGCACAATTCTGTTAATCGAACTCACACTAGGCACGTTTTCGTTCACGCAAACACCTTCAGCTAGTAACCGATCTCGGATTTCCCAAGCAAACATCGTCGGATTTTGACGTTTGTAACTGGCGATTTTGTCCACAACCGGTGGGGTGGCTACTTTAGGCTTACTACCGCCGATAACACCAGGTTTGATAGAGCCAGTCTCGTAATAACGACACAAGATCTTGCTAACACATCCATGCGAGACTCTGAGCTGCCGTGAAATGTCACATGGTCGTACACCGCTCTGGGCTAACTCTACTATCCTTCGCCGTACAACCTCAGGCAAAGGTCTACCGTTAACAAACACTCCTCCAAGTTGGTTTACACCGCCATGCCCTGTAATATCAGATAAAAACATCTCCTGTTAGACTTTATATAAAGATAATTAGGTCAAAATCAATAGTGTTGATAACTCTATATAGGACATGTACCGGTATGTGCCATAGTTATAGTCCACTTCCGAAAATCAATGAGGCGTTTGGAATATTCACTCAGGCGTTACACGTAGCAAACCTAAAACCAAACAGAATGAGATACGAATGATCAGCTTTGCTTTAAACCGAATACAAAACAAAAAAGAATAATTTTACACATGGTTAATTTATGCTAAGTCATAAACATCGACAGCTAGTCCACCTTGTGTGATCAGAAACAGCGCTTCGTACTCGGTGTTTAAAATCTTTACAATCGATTGAATAAGATTTAAGTTTGTGCATGAGTTACTGAGATTAGACCAGAGAGCAAAGTTTGGCAGTGTACATGCCTTATATTGGTGATTGATTTCCAACCGAAAAAAGCATTGTCTTCGTTTGCCATAAAAGGAAAGTCAACACAAGGAGTCTCAATGACATCTAATATCTGCATTCACTAATTGAGTAGCACTACCAACTACCCGGCGGCTCAGTTTGCGGTTGTTCTATTCCCTATACAGCTAATGTGCAAAGGAAGCACATTTTATCTTCACTACCAAGCGAAAATTAAACTTTAAATGGTTGAAAATGAATGTGACACTAAACTTACGGGTTATATAAAACCTGTGAAATCTCACCATCTGAGACGTTATGTGTATCTTTGTATTGTTTGTTTGGTGTCAAAGAGAGCGTCAGTACATGTGGTGTTATGCAAAGCTTGGTATGAAACAGACAAATACAGTCAGTTTGCACTTAAAATTTATTAACCTCAAAGCAAGAGACGTGCAAATTAAGTGGCCATGCTAATTTACCCAGCTCAGGAATTTTATTGGTTCATGGGTGCTTAATGGCGGGAAGAACGCCGGATTAACTTATGTTCAGAGTAAACTTACTAGAGTAAACATAATTCAGTCATGACATTCAACTATCCCAAACCTCGACCAACACAATAAACTCAAGAAAGCTTTCATATTTCTTCAGCTTTCAACATTCATGTCCGACCAAGATACATATAGCTATGGGCATAGAGAAATCAGAAGTGATTACAAATATGTAAACAAGGGATCAAACCGCCGTGATTGAAAATTAAAATGCTATTAAGCGTGAGAAACTCTGGAATTATTCCCAAAGCATTAATTATTTCACTAGACCGTATCTAATAGAGTCACTTTCCACTCTTGATCAGCTTTGCTTTTATTTGAAGCTTTACCGCGAGTAGCTACTTCTATTCAATTCAGGAATCAGTTCATTTCAGTTAGGATCTTTGAATCTTGAACTTTACATGGATAGAGTAAAATTGTTTTCCCTGTAAGATCCTGTTAAAATATATGACTAGTGCGCAAACATGCATATACTTATATACAAATACGCCTATAGAAGTAGAACATAATGTGAATCACGAAGCGTTCAGCCGAGTCCGTTCTTATTGAAGAATTTTAGTTAAATCCAGATCTGTGAACCGTGGTGAGGTGTAAACTCGCGAATCAACTGAAGCAGTAACGTCCTGTGGTGGTGGAAAAATCTTCACCCCAAATATCGACAACGTACATTGCCAGTATACATGATTCAATGAAAACATAGCAAGTATAAACTCATGATCTCTTTGAAAAAAACGTAAAAATCAATCAAAGTGATATTTTGACTCTATTTCAAAGTCATTGTCAAACCTATTTGCTTGTGTGCTCAGGGCCGTAATGCTTGGAGGAAACAAGCGAAGAAATCTGGACATGCATGAAGAATGATAAGGTTTTAAGGTGCCTTGATCACAGAGTTGTGTTAAGCATCAATAGATTTGACGAGCCCTCACTTTAAACGGCCATAACATTGGTTCTACAGACCAATCTTAATCTTAGTGTCAAAATACATCTCATCGACATCAGTCTTAGATTCAATTTTCTATGCCCACTAATAATTAACTGTGAAAATCTGGACCATAGCTATTGCAGTATGTATTTTTTTTCAGGACACCCTGTATAAAGGCATGTCAAATTAACATCTGTGATCTAAAGTATAAGACTAATAGCCCATTCCACCTAAACTCTAGAGGCTGCAGTAGCCATATATCCATGAAATGCATCCGATGCCGTTGGAACATTTGGTAATGTATTAAATAGCGGATTGCATGATTTCATCCAACCAATTATGCAAAAACGGTGCAATATAATAATAGATCTTAGCCAGTCCGTTTTCAAGGTTAAAGTGTATTAAAGTCTATTAGCGTTGTTTCGGCGAGTTCAGTGGAACTTGGTGCTATTGTGGCTATCATTAATATTGACTTCAAGATTAATTAATTTCCGTGATTCAGTCAATAAAACCTGGATCATATATCAGGACATTTATTATTTTTTCAGATTTGCGTTAAAACTTCCTCTGGGGTTATAAATTTATTTGTTGTGTATATTAATTATATTATATTGTCAGAACCAGTTTGCTTAAATTGATAGTGATTATATCTTCCATTCGATTTATTGTCTCTATAGGTGTGTTTTGTAGACCACGAAACCTTTGGTTATTTTGTGACAGTTGATGATAAGCCTCTTTCATTTAGCTCTTAATTATGAACACGGTTGGGTTACAGCAGGTTTGAACAATGGTGTTCCTGGTTCAAAGGAACCCATACTGTGTGAAAACCTTCCAGATAAAGCGACCAAGCAAGCCGACCAGGCTAGCAGCGCAACTGTTTCTCTGCGGGAGAATCTTCATTTACGTACAGCTGTTTTCGAAAACAGTATTATGCAACTCGCAAGACAAATGTTGCCTTAAATTCACTGAAATTCTACTCAATTCGATTTCCTTCTGCAGTATAGGAATGCATACTGCATGCATGACCAGTTATGACCAGTCTAACTTCGATATAGGCTCCAAGTTGGATGTTAATAAAGTTAGTTTAGGTTTTAGTTAGGGGATGCGAAAAACCTAGCATCAGAGAACATAGGAAAAATCCGACACTTAATTAAACTTCATGGCCAACTTGCTGTAAAATTAATTTACTACGCCTATATGCTATGTAAATTACGGTCTAACTATTCAAATGCAATGTTTTCGCTGTATATAGTGGAATGCAATAAAATACCTGTCATCTATTAACTTCACAGACAGCTGTCTCTTTGTCTACGTCAGCTATTATGATTGAACTTAAGCAGCCCCAGTGTTCGAAGCTGTGTTTACACTGCAAGTCTATCTTGGCCTTGATTTGTTAATTATTATTTGTCAGCCAATAACTGAATATTAAAGTGAAGCAAAAGATCATGACGAATAAATCTATTTTCTCTACCATTTTGTGTTTAGATATATTTTCAGCGTCAGAAACTTGCGCAATCTTCGATCTTGAACAAAACGGCTGAGATCATCGCAGGACGTATTGCAAAGTTAAATACACTGATCAATTATAGTTTTATATTTATTCTGACTATGCAGAGTACAATGAAAATTCGTTGTTTCGAGCGGGATATTTCTCGCATCTTCACCTTCGGATAGGCGGAAAAAATTAGGGGAACTGTCAGATTTTATCATGGTTAATACAAAGTCAATCTTATACGATAAATAAAAAAATACAACTATTTACGAGTATTTCTGACATTTCATTCTTTCAGATACGTGAAACCTTCTCACTCTACTGCATGCAAGTTAAGGCCAGTTTCCACTCAGGAAAATTATCCGTGGATTGGAACGGACAAGAAAATTTTTCTTTGTCTTGTGAGCTCTGGGTTGGAACTCAGAATGACTTTAATCAAAGAAAAATTTTCTTGTCCGTTCCAACCCACAGATAATTTTCCTGAGCGGAAACTAGCAAATTGACCGATTTTTAAGTAGAATTTGACCGTCTAAATACTGACTGAAGGGCTTGTTTTTTAGTCCTCTCCCAGCTCGCCCCCACCCAGTCTTATATAAATCACCATCTACAGCAACCTCGTCCCCAGGGTCTTCTTCGCGGACGAGGTTGTGCCTACAGAACTGCAATGATTTACACCATTTTGGTGTTGTGCCAACACCCAGAAATTTGGAGCGAACTTAACCTGATGGTCCCTTAGTCTCTCCCCCTAATCCAAACAACTGTTGGTAGTTTTACTAGCTTGGTTATATCTCCTCATGTTTCCATCCCAATAGGGAAATATAGTTGTGATTCGGGACAAAATGAAAAAAAGTAATATATTCGTGCGCGAAACATGAGAATGTTAACATTAGTTTTACACAAGAATCAAACTCAACATGGAAGGGTGGATTTTCATAATCTGACATGTTATAAAAGAGAAAAGTCGTCTGAACCTGCCGAGTATGTCCAATTAAGAACTTTGTTCCAAACGCTGTAATCAGCGTTCTGACTTATTATGCGTCATTGGTAAGATTCGGGAAAAACAAAGACGTACACGTGGTACTTGATAACTATACAGAGGAAGAATCTGCAGCCATGCAAAGGAAGAAACAAAATTGTTATGTATTTTGGTTGACAAAGATATTTTGTTGTAAATCCACACACGCATCAACTTCGAGCTTCGTGATGTTCCTTATCATATATTAATCATCTTCTTTAAGAAGGTATATGTTAGGTCAAAAGTTTCAAAGTTTCATATTAGTTCCGGCAAGATGGACATAATCAATTTTCTGGAATAAATAACTTCATTTAACTTAAATTTCAGATTAATTTAGTGAAAAATTGTTCTTTTTTGTGAAGTGTAGTCACTGTAGTGTTCTATAAGTGATATATTAGCCTATACAATCTGTTCTTCCCCCACCCGCCAATGCTTTCATTTTTCTAATGGTCCGCCCCATTAATCATACTATTTAAATAGCTTTCCTAATTTACACTGTACTTTATTTTTTATTTCTAATATTAGTGTAAACTATAAATTTAGTGATACAATAGAATATAATGAAGAAACTGGTTTGACAGTAATTTTGTATTTACCAAAATAAAGTTTCAGTTTACCATGCAACCAGTCATCATTTGAAGACTGAGCACTACTGGTTGTTTTGTGTGATTGTGTCTGCCCTCCTTCGCAGGCCCTCAAAGTCAAAACGTATGCGACCTTCTCGTGATGCAGCGGTGGCATGTGGCAGAGTTTCAATGTTTAACATTTGCTGCACGTGCATGTGGCACTAAACTGATGCTGGTCCAGCAATGAGGGCACAATACAGAGAGCTTATGAAGTACGAGTTATGTAAAGTTTTAATCAAAGAAAAAATACCTCCCTTACAACAAAACAATACAGGAAACGAGTTTATTGTGCCTTCCCAGTTGGTGATACTATGTCCAACATTCCAAATACTATTAAGGATCACATATATATATATAACACAGATGAACGCGTAAACGAAAATTTAGGAAACGCTGGAAAACAGCCAAATACTGGGAAAAATTACTGAAGTCAAGCTACTGATTAAACATGATTCGAACAGCGCAGCAAGAGAGAACACGATCCCGACGTCCTTTGCTATACTTGTTCAATAAAGAAGTCGATACGCGTGATATTATACCCCCATGGCCATGATATATTGTTTTCTTTTCAAACAGAAAATTACAGTATTGACTATGTTGTCTAAATATAAGTTGAATCAGGTTATAAGGTTAATGATCTAAAGCGGAGTATATAACATTATACAAGGTAATTCCGCGAAGTATCTGTCTGCTTTGTTACATGCAATGTCACTTCACTATAGAAGATACATATTGTCTTAATTGTTGCATTTATTGGAATATATTGCTGTTAAGAAGTACTGAATGGGTCTGAATACCTCTTGTACAAGTTGAAGTAATCCATACATAATTCAATAATGAAAGTAGATTAACTGAATATATCTATGCAGTCTTGTAGCATGCTATAAACTTCCGCTTTAACTAAACACTGAACATTTACAGGTATTAAACTATAAATTGACAATTCCACAAAAACTGTGAGATTGCAACAAAAACTATAAAAGGAATTTATAAATCTCCAAAGCCAACGGCAAAGAAAATTAGTGTTGATATAGTTTTGCACAATTGAATTGATTTTTCTTATCTTCTTTCATTAACAATCTCTCTCGTCCTTCAATATACTGTGCCCTAATCTTTTTCAGGGGCGTATATACAGTACATATGTACTTGCTTGCATGTTTTTATTGAAACACTGTCAAAAACAACTTTAATTAATAAACTAAAAGAACGTGTTACGTTCGTTAGTCGAGTGTACAAGAAGACAATATATCCAGAAAGACGTTGCACCATTCTTTTTACATCACTTTTTTGTTTCAAAACACTCATAACATATAAACATGAGTATTCAGCATCAACATATTTTCCTTGACAGAAGTCCATGAATCAGCCTATCCATGCATGGGCTTATCTTTGTGCTGATATTTGCATTGGGTGTCTTATATTTGGAACAGCCAAATGTTAGTTTTACAGAATATACTAACTATGAATAATCTGTACTATAGTTATTTCACCAAAGTACAGTCTGACAGTATGCGTGAATATATTTAGTCTTTCTATGTACACTTAATGACGTCCTCCTATTTTCTTTCTAAATTGGAGTACTGGAGCCATAAAGTCTGCGAGGCCAGCCAGGTAGGCGTGGCATTCAAAAGTTCAAGTACCATTATCCTGGTAGGAGGCTGCCATCTTTAACTTACCTTTGTTCCTCTCTATCTATACAGTCTATACTTAGTTTTCACCAGAATATTTAGAACGAATAATTTAATAAATTGGATGTGGCAACTTATCATAATAGCTGTAGAGAGTTCACCTTCTTTCATGAACGTTATCATGATTGTTTTTCTATACATATTAATATTACCAAGGTATCACCAAAAAGTTGTTTCGTCAGAAATATACATGCACCTTTTATAAATCAGACTAGAAAATCCTTTTACATTTGCATAGCAATAAATACATAATTGATATATTTTTGTAATGAACATCACGTTCATGATGAAGATCTGGAGTTTTCTCGGTTTTTCTACAAAACAAATTAATTTTTAGGTGGTTTGCACCAAATTCTGTCCAAGAATAGAGAAATCCTATAATTTTCAATCTTTATTAACCTAATTGGGATGTTTGTTTATGCGGACACTGGTTAGTGATAATCAATTATTTGCAAAATTCTGATCTTCATTGAGAAGATTCTGGTCTCCCTGTGACATTGTGTGAAGATTCTATTTTGTGTTTATTATACTCATGCTGTTATTCTATTTATACTGTTAATACATCCTCAGCTTTGGTATAAAATTGTATCTTAGTTTGTGCTTGACAAGTATCAATTGCATTTCCATTGGGATAGGAAAAAGGGAATAGATAGATCCTGAAGAAGTTTTTTATAGAACATGATTCTTTGTTCATTACACATGCATGTGGCTGGATTTTCACGTTAAATGTTTTTATTTCACATTTCGTATACTTTTTATGTCATTATTACCTAGACTTTATGTACTGACGTTTTAAAACTTTAACATATTACTATACACTCTGCGCTCTAACGTATTACATAAACAGTCCAACCTGGTACATTTGTCTAATCCAAAGCTTAATGACGTGCATTAATCAACAACATCGACCTGATCTATTCCATCTAGAGACGCATTCCAGGACGACGTCTACATGGTACACAACAGTTGGTGGTCTATTGTTCAGTTAAATGTCTGCACAATGCTGATTCATTGGAGCAGGTGCACATTTGTGCCAATGTTTCAACTATATAGTTAGAAAACCAATATACATATGTAATGGGGAGGATATCAACTGGGAGTTTATCCTGTTTCCTCTCCTGTCACCTATGCCCTTCTTAAATTGTACATTTGTACAAGGTGTACATTTGGGTGCACATTTGTGCCAATGCTTGGTAATTTGACATCATCTGTATAGTTACCAATGTACATATGTAAAAGGGAGTATATCAATTGGGAGTTTATCTTGTTTCCTCTTCTATCACCTTAGACTTGCTCCAAGTCTCTCTTTCATTGTCATATCGATCCACTATATTGTATATTACATGACGTAGCTCGGAGAGGCGGAGCGAGAAAGAGAGACTTGTCAACTTCGGAAAACCTCGGTTCAAAACTGAACCGAAAATGCAAGACTCGTTTTAATTGTTTTCCTTCAATTTCTTTCTGTATTATTTACTAAATGGAACTCGTGTTATTTACACTATGTTAGATCAATACATATAAACACTGACAGAAAACAATTAAAGCAAGTCTTGCATTTTCGGTTCAGTTTTGAACCGAGAATTTCCGAAGTTGACAAGTCTCTCTTTCTCGCTCCGCCCCTCCATACTACGTCATGTAATGTAGACTATAGTGGATCGATACTATATGACAATGAAAGAGAGACTTGGAGCAAGTCTACTATCACCTATGCCCTTTTTGTATATTCTGTGGTGGGGATCTACAGGTGACTGTTCGGTACTGGTGAGGTGATTTTGAGGCAAGCTGTGCTCTATCCTTATGGTATCGAACACTAACATTTTGTGAAATAAATCACACTACTTACAGGAATTATGGCCTAAGTCGTATTTTTAATAGTTACTATTTGAACCCAAGTGGAAGAAAATAAAATTAAATATATTAACATGCAGAGTTTTAGGGTTATTTGGGTTTTTTTGGGTCGGATTATTGCATGGCACATGAAAAACAAGATTATGAATTATTTGGGTAGGATTTGAGGGTTATTGATTTTAGTCTAGAAGAATAGGATACGTGCCTCACTTGTAAAAACGTACAATTTACAAATCAGGATAATGAACAATTATTTACTCAATGCAAACAACTTAAGAGATTCAATCATCATGCATGCAGATACAAAACTAAAATCCTTATATAAAATACTTTTATACCACATTCCCAACCAAGGACCTATTCCAAATAACATTCATTTATATGAAGATAATGTTGGACCATTAGAAAAGTGATGGAAGGAGGACTTTTTTTAACTTGCACGAATATTTTTTTAAATTTTTGGCTTGTGTCGATAACGTTTAAATATAATCCCTTCCACGATTTTTTTTATTTTAACTTATAAATTTTTCTATTGAGAGGTCTCTGCACCAATTTTTCCCCCAAACGTTCTTGGTGCTCGAATGTTTTTCTTCTTTCTGTTTCCCCTGCGCGATTTTTTTTTGACAACCCCCCCCCCCCCCACAACCCCCCCCCCAATCACTTTTCTAATGGTTCGCCCCTAATGAATTTGCAATGGCATAACCAATTTCACTTGTCATGAACTGTTGCTTGCTTTTTCGTAAGAAATTTCCAACAAATACAAGTCCTTCCATTACCATTTGCCATTTATAAAAATAAATATTACATTTTGTTATGATATAAATCACTTTAACTATACCCTAAGGCTAAGGCATAATGAATTTGCAATGGAAAGTTACACCCTCACTATACGGTTTCAAGAAGATAAGTTCAACTTATTATATCTGCCATTTCCCCTCATATTACATGTCGATATACACTATAAATAGTACATACAGATTACATGCTTCCCCCAAATTTGATCATGGCTTAGCCCAGTTAGGATCAAAATTTATGTCTAAAGAGTAAAGGAAATTTCATTACTATATCTTCATATAAATAAATGGCATTTTTAAAACTTGTAAGCTGCATTGATTGGAAGTATATTGTGTCCATTGAGTATTGACTATAGAGAGCTTGAGTCATGCAGATACTTAACTGTCTTTTTAAGTTTTTTTATATAGACTTAGTGCAGATTATATTATATTCTAGGGAGATTAATACTTAACGATGCACAACCTGTATTCAAAAGTAGATCTATTTCTTTCATAAACTATGTGAAAACCTTTTGCCAAGAAAATAATATCATTACAAGCTACTTAGTGGAAATTAATTACTCGAGCTTTGAGCAATCAAACAAACACCGCACAACATTATTAATATTGCACTCAAGTGAGACGTTCATCCGTTTTAACATGACGTGATATGTTGAACGCAGTATAGTATGCTTCACTACCATCTAAAAAACACAGTTCACTGAACAAGAAAGTACATGTACATCTGTGTAGGAAATATACCAAAACGCTATCAAAACAGCAATTAAGAGCTATTTAGCAAACTATCGAGTTATACTCTTGAATAATAATGAGCTAGAGAAGCAGTAATGGAATGCCAATTACGAATTTGAGTTCCTCACACAATAGTCAATACACCAGTTGATTTATCCAAATCCCGAAGATTTATAAAACAACTGAAAACAGAGTTCGTATCATAAATAACAGGTTTAGCGATATTGTACTAGTCTAGGTATATGCCACAATATCATATCACTCTTATAATAGCATCTTACAGTACTAAAGTCTAAATATCTACCGCCTTTCTTATCAATTGATGTAGCATCAAAATTAAGCCTATTTTCACAAAACCAAATATCAGTTATACATAGTCATAGTGTAATGCCCAAGCAAACACTAAAATCTTAAGAAGTCGAAAGTCTTCAACTACAGATTATAAAGAACACCATGTTGCCAGTATATAATCTACACAAATATCAAGGTTTATAAAATGCGGTATTTTACAAAAGCTCTCGTAACAGTGAGAGGGAAACTATTCAATTTCGAGTTGAGAAATTTCTCGAAAGAAAGATAACTATTTCATGATGCTGGGTCAGAATACCCTAAGAACAAACTGGGGGAGAATATGTATCGTTAAGCTTTAAACTATTTTAAACTAAGACTAAGCCTTCCTATATAATTAGACTTCATTCCATACAAACGGCAAATGGCTACGTGTCATTCCCCGTAGTTTTAAGATTTTTCACAACTTCATCCTGTAAAAGGCTGTACGCTTTGTGATCCATGAAACCATTTATATAATTACAAAATTTATATTAAATGTTTCGTTACTCTTAGTTAGCGATTCACTGAGCGTGTTTCCGAACTTGCCAGTTTACACTCAACGCTTTCATCGAGAATTAATGAAGTATGCAAAACATCAACCCACACTGCACAACACTAAACGCAGAAAAACTACCAGGTAGTGTTGTTACATACTGGTAAAACTTTGAAATGGTTACTGCTTTCCTTCAAAACGCCAGCAAAGGTCAAAGCGGGACTAACGATTGTTTAACCGTTCAAAGTTGGAGAATTTTCTCGGCACTACAGAAAGCGGAGGTGGTTGAGGAAGAAAGCGTACACAAGGACGACTTGAAATGTATTTAGCGAAACCAACTTAATGTTTTATCGCACATGGCTGCAATAGCGTGGCGAAAAAGTGAGGGACAATATTACAGTGTTTACACTAGCGAACACAGGCGAGTGACTCAATGTATCACACAGTGGAACAGTTATGTTTTCGGCCAGTGAAGCATAAAAGTGAACAACAGACAGGTAGAAGTCACCCTCGGATGGTTTTCTTTGCAAGAGCTATACATGTCTGAACCGAAGCACGAAATACCGCTTACAAAACGGCGGACAAAGAGTCAATAAATCGAACCGCTACCATTTACAATTTAACAGCGCGAACGATACGAGGAAAAAATTCAACCTTCCTACCACGACTATCACGCATTAAAAACTTTATTTTGTATTTAATGAAAAATTAAATAAAAGTATTATTCAATATTGACTTAGCTAACTAGAGGGTAAATAGAACTAAGATCCTTACCTGGGTAAAGATGTGACTCGTAGCCGACGCTGGTGTAATTGCTTGCAAACAGCTCAAAATAGACTACAACAATGTCAAGTCGTCTAGCAAATAAAACCCCTCTATGGTATAGATATGTTAATAGGTCATTGAGCCGTCATTGATTGGTAAATATGTATATATTTTCTTTAAGATAATTATGACAGCTCGCTATTGTTTGCACAAAGAAAAGATAATGAACAACTCGTCACAACAGCCACCCTAAGGTTAACTTAGAAACTGACTTTCGTTTTATAATATTAAACTAAAGATCTATAACTCGATCTATATTAACTTCGTTTGGAACCAGGCTAGATTTTTCCGCTATACTTGGCAGGCACTTGTCATGGATTTTTTGAAGTTGATGGATCCCGGAATTGCTGTACATCCGCTATATATACTTGAGCAATATATGTTTGCGTGCACCTGACGTATCCAGCAAGGGAACTTATTACCACATATAAAGACCATGCACACGACCACTGCAGTAGCCATTAATATCGAAAATGAAAGTGCAAATAAAAGTCATTAAAATTGAAGTTGTTCTATAAAAGCTGAAGTTGTTCTATAAAAAACATTGGCATTTTTCTAATCATTATCAGAATGAATCTTTCGAATACTTATATATAATTAGAATGATTCAGTGTTTGAAAGAACAATTTCAGCGTTCAAAAGAACCATTCCAATGTTCGTTGAATGTCATTAAATTCGAAGGACGATGTCAATCCCAAATATCTTTGGGAATACTTTTGCGAAAATTTCTAAGGAAAAGTTTAGATTTTCGTGAGTTATTAGGTTTTGTGCAGAGTGGATATGGCTTGAAGCCGTAATGTCTATGCATACAACACCCATAGCCGCATGCTGTGTTGTTGTTTGCAAATGAATATAGTAGGAGTCTAATGTTAAGACATTTTTCAACAATTGTTTTGTCGCGCACGTAATTACTGAAACAAAGTTATATAGTCTGCATAATAACTCTATTACTTCTAAAGTTCCAAGTCTGAGCAGAAATGCTATAGGTCGCGTTGTTTTTACTACACATATACCATTAAACTCACGTTAAAAATTCTGAACATATACCATAAAACTTATTCTAATCTTCGTATTCTTCACAGGACTGAGAGAATAAGAGAACTAATATGCGTTCCTCGGCCGGGAATTGATCAATCTGGATTTTCATTTTTCTTTTGGTATAAATAAAGAAAAGCTGCATGAAACGTATTAACATGGACTGGCGAATTTATAAACTCTTTGCTATATTCAGTTGTTATATAGACATGGCGCAGCTATTTTGTATCTGAGAGTTGGGAAGAACATACCAATATAGATCGTATCTTATATTAGATCACTGAAGAGCCTTAATTAAGCAACCAAAACCCATTAAGGCCCATTCAAATCAACGCAACATTGTTGGCCCAACACCATTAAACAATTTTCAAATATTTATAATGTATTATTGTTTCGTTTATCAATAATGTTTTATCTTGTTTCGTTTACAAATTTTTAAAGCACAGATTTTTAATTAGGATAAATCTTGTAGTTTTATCCAAAATATTTGAAAAATAAAGCAGTTGAACCAAATATTACTTGATTGTTGCATGATGTTGGGCCAACATTGCTAGGTCCGTTTGACCGCGTACGGGCCTTTACACTGGACATATAGACGTAGCGCTACATATATAGAGGATATTACACGGCCGGCGCGAAGATACGACTTTTATCTTCGAGTGGTGAAAACAATATAGCCACCGTGTAATGTTCTGTTTATTATATAGTCCCAAGCAAAAAATTGTGAAATTACACGCTCAAAAGCAATATTGGAAAAAGTCACGTGATCGATATCTTCACTAGTGTCTCGGTACTAGTGAAGATATGGAAACTACCTCAATGTGTATTTTCAGTATCTCACTCTCTACTATATAATAAAACTCATTATTATTACTTAAATTAAGAATTGGAAATGGAATATCAGATCTACAATGTCAAATTACATGGCATATAACTTTTCGTGCAACTTATATACCGGGTGACGCTGTTGCCAATACTGCCCTATATTGTAAAAGTCTAATATAATATTTGCAATTTTTTCCCCCGTTGGAATACCGAGTTATATACTCCCTCACTCAGTACATGGTCTCTATTACCAATATTGATAATGCCCTCTTTCTTTATAATTACCAATTTAGATTGAAGTAGCTGACGGGTATGTAGTTGTGACACTGCATGTCAGTTTAGGTACTTTCACGGTAATACACGTTATTATACAAATCATCTTGCAACCTAACACGCGATATAGCGTGGTAAATATTTTACTTAAATCATAATAACAATAATTGAACTTAATGTTTCTTTTGAGACAAGAGTTTCACATACACTTGACTATAAATAGCCACACGTTTGCATAAATATTTACTAAATCAGATAAAGAACTGACACATACAATAGCTTTTAACTTAACTACGTCCATTAGCTCAATTGCACTGTTTACACCTACAACATAGTCATGCAAACTTTAGGAATTGAAAACTAACGTATTTTTTTGTTCTATAGCCTGTTTTCACTACCATAATATTGAACCTAAAGTTTTTGCACGGTTGCTGAGCAGTTCATGAGGCCTGAAATCTTGCTCAATTATACTTCTTTAGTCACAGTATTCAAAGAATTATAGTTGCGTCATAACATAAGAGCAGTCACTGATACAAATTGGTTTTCTTCACTTCATTCAATTCGTATAAAAGGTTGCGGAACAGCAACACTACATACTATAGAACATCACTACAGGATGTAAATTGCACTACAGGACTAAATGACAGTTATGGAGGAAGCAACTAGCAAATTCTATCTACATATTTAAAAAATATCAAGTTTCGTTCATGTATATATGGGGAGAAATATGTCCATTAGATCATTTCTTGTAGCTGGATGCCGAATTGCAAGGGACTTAGCTCAAACATGATCCGGTAAAAATGTTATCGCCTCAGGAGAAAACTACCCACAACTCTTCCATAAGTTGTCAAACACATCAAGTGTGTGCAGGGTTATCACCCATCCTGTACGTAATACCCAACACTCAACCTACAATAGCCAATGGCTCCTAACAACTGGTTAATGTCATTGTATCTATATACGAGAGATGCCATTCAGTCACTTAATTCTTTTGACGTAACACGCCTGCATAATTGTTTCTCCGTCGTTCTCAAATTCCTTTCTTGTTGTTGTTTCTGAACAAAGACGAAGGACTTGGCGGAAAGTCGACATGCTTGCTTACGTCGAGCCTTCCGATTGACTCGACATCCTGTTGACGATATTTCTAGTGTTACTGAGTCAGGGGAAATAAAGAGACCGTTCTTTAGGTTAATACTACCTAATTTTAAAAGTGCTAACTAATGAATAGTTTTATATAAAGACTGTCATGGCAACACATGTATGCATGCACTCGAGTCATGACACAAGTTCAACTATACAGATTACAGTCATTACTTCTCCTCAAACATGCACTTCATGAACTGAGCACTATGTTATTACTACATAGTTGGAGTTAGGATACTATAATTTACATTAGCATATATTAGTGTACTCAAAATTTTGAGTATACTGTATTTTTACACTGCATGTGCACAGATGAAATGAAGGTTCAAGACAGAACTCAGTGGCGCAGAGAGCCTGCAATAATGTTCAATAATTGTCTAGAAAATATGTCTGACAAAAATGAAATTTGATCGGAACCTTTCACATTTGGTCGGACATTTTTTTTTCTTTCCATTTCCATTATTGCTCCAGGTGCGGTCCAATGGCGTACATCATGTTATAATAAAGACATATAAAACTATAAGCCAAACATTATATATATATACAGTATATAGTTAAACTGCTTTAAAATTGAACAATTGTGTATTTGATCGGTTAAATTGTAATTTGTCTGGAAAATGTAAAATGTCCATGTCCGACCGTTATTTCAGGTTCTGTCGTTCTGATGTGGTCGGCAGAACGTTAGTCTAGAAATATATATTGTAATATATAACTCATTAACCTTAATATGTTTCATAATTACGTTGTTCCTTTCTTACACATGCATACTGCAGGGATTATATAAAAATATTGCATGCTAAAGATCTTAAATATTGTTAATAAATGCAATTCACGTCATAGAAAAACATTTCCTGCACGCATGCATGCAACAATCACGGACTAACGGACAACTAATGTAGCGCGCTTTAGTCTTAAAAAGTAGTAAAAAAATAGTAAAAAGTAGCGCGCTTTAGTCTTAAGACTAGCTGACGCAATTTTTGCTACAATTTGCAACGCAAATTTTGATAGAGAGTCATTTTAGGTAAACGTTATTCATAAAACAAGAACAAGGTCAGCGTTTTACTCGTTTAAAACAAAATTTATTTCATAACTATTAACTCTTTGTATTTCTATAATTCATCATTCAATTGTCGGTGAACAGTACACATGCATCTTCACGAATATCATCTACATCCAGTTGTTTACTGCATGTGCTGTAGTCTACAGTAGTCTACAGTGTAGAGCTTGCATCCAACATCCGATCCCGTTACTTATATATATTCCTCGCTAAACCTACACTGGCACCTCAACACGCAAGATATTTACAGTAGATCATGCATGCATAATGCATGTGACGCAAAATTCAACAATACTAATATATTGTTTATAAGACAGCCAGTGAACTTTCCGACAAAGCTAGGGGTGTCGCTCGAAACGTCGAAGTTTCAGCTTATACTTTTCAGGTAGTTGTATATATCTCTCTCGCAGCTGTCTTGTTATCGCTGTTATATACCTACATGCACTGACCGTTCGAGAATACTCTTTATAATTTATGCAATGATTGCAAATAATTTAAACCGTATATAATTTAGAAATACCTATATTATATCTATAGTTCATAATAATCGATTAATGTTTCGATTTGATAAGTCAATATTAGTCAAGCATATAAGTATATAACATGCAGTTTAGCATATAATTTACTATAGTCTTTACATGCATGACAAAATACATGTATAAATACACCGAGTTTAACGATTATAAAACTAAAAGACGTGTATAAATTGTAATAGAAAGCTGTTCTGGTGAAAGACGTCTTTTGCTTTGGCTCTTTGTGTATTTTCAACCTTTGTGTTATCAATAGTCAATCATTTACCAAATATCATTGAATGAACTAATTAAAACAGTTAACCAATAAGAAAATATTCAGCCGAGCACCCAAGCACTCACCTTACCATCCAATCGACTGCACAAATTTATCAACAAAACTTACCGCGTTTTTTCCTGCTTTACAACACATTTCGTAATTTCTATAATCTTGGAGAACAGGTTTAAGTATGAAACAAATATTCAAATACAAAACTAAATCATATTGATAAATTTCAATACGAGGCAGCAGATGCTGGTCACCAGCACAACAAATGAAAATTACTATAAGCTACATAAAATGAGAGGTATTATATATTTGAAGAAATTTAATTTTTTTTAATTCTGATAACTGCAGGTAATCACCAGCTCTATTGAATGATAAAATGCTTTCAGAAATCCACTTACATATACATATTTCTTTACTGAGCGTCAGAACTATCATGATAGGCTATCAAGTCGTTGCATATATCTCAATGCAAGATTGTTCGAAGCTCGATTGTCTAAAAGAACACCAGCGGTAATCCGAAGTTTAATAGAAGATTTAATTTAAAAATCAACTGTGGTACTCGCAAACTGACAGGCTCTCAGACGTTGGCTTTAATGTTCCAGGGGGGTTTAGGACACTTAGAACATGGCCGCCAGCTATTTTGGTAAAAACTACCTTACGGTTTTCCCTGCAAGTACTCTGTGTCCATACAGAAAAAAAGACTTTATACTGCATGTACCTGCCCACAGGGCCGCCGAGAGGTTGCGGGGGCCTGGAGCAGAAATTTTCCAAAGGGCCTCTGACGTCATAACATTTTCCAAAGGCTCCCATATGACGTCATAATTGTAAACCGGGAGAAACGGTGTTTTACAATATATTACGCTTTATTGCATATTATCCGGCAATGAAAATTTATATTCTCGGTTAAGCAATCTTGTATCAACAATTCTAAGGGACTTAAGAGAATAAAAAAAATATCTAAGGGAATAAAAACAAAATCTAGACTTTACAGTTCTTACCTGCGACTGTCCATTCTTAGATGCAACCGACGGTAATCCACGATGTGGACTTTCATTAATATAAACTGCTTTGTACAAACAAATGATATTCCACAGCAAATGTTTATAAAATACGAATTATACAGCAAGTACATAAAACAATTAAATTATTTAATATTCGACAATATAAATTTCAAAGCATGAAAATTTCACTCATATATAATAATATACGCATTTTTGTAAAAACGCACTAGCTACCATGATCCAAAACAAGACATAGTTATATTATTGATAATACTGTTCATTACTTACTATATGATTGGATTATTTCATTTATATATAGACTGTACCAGATTTTGTAGACTGTCACATGTGGCTTTTGCATCTCCCAATAACATCGATGTATTTGGTTTATAGAAGACAGGATTATCAACATCAGCATAGCCCGTACCCAACGTTCGCTTCATAACAATGACCTGAAGTACAAAATGCATTTCATTTTCAAGCATGTTGTGTATAGTACAGCGTGTGTATAATATAGTTCTAGTTGTTTATTCGTTTAATATACATTAATATTGTAGTTTAATATAAATTTGCAGGGCACCAACTGATAATCAACAATTATTGGATGAGGCTGTGCATATGTTGTGATCTTATTCAGGGAAACGACAATTCATTCTCATCCAATAATTGTTTATTACCAGACGTCAATCGACTTCAGATGCAGAACATGACGCTCTATTAAGAGATATCTGCTGGAGCTATTGCACAAGTGGCGATAACTTGGTCGTGATAACTTCAACTTCCCCTGGGACATTTCGACTGGCTACTAAATATGAACTCTCTTGGGGAGGGGGGGGGGGGATCAAATGGGATAGCAAGCCTCGCTTTCGTGTTTGTGGTGCAAGCGTCTCGATTAAGAAAACGAGGCTGTATAGCAAAAGTGACGTACTTTCTGGAAGGGTGTATTGTTAAGCCAAAATAATATGCCACTATATAATTTTACTAATATGTCTTAAAGTATTTTTAACCAAATGTTTGTCAAATTTAATGTTTTTATTGTTTTATTATTAGCATGACAAAATTACTGGATGCTGATTGGTTGAGAGGAGTACAATTATTTCATTAATTGTACTGCAGTACAATTAATGATTTTCCCAAAACAAACAAAATGGCGGAAAGGTATTTTAAACACAAATGTGAAATGAAATTTCCCTAGAGGAACAAGATGAAAATACGAACAAAAGCACCAAATTTTGGCAAAATTTCCAAACATCACTCGTACTATTAATCCCTAATTGTACGAGCAACATCGCATGATTACTTGTTTATTATTAGCATGACAAAATTGGATACTTCTCAATGTCAACATCATATATTCTCTCGCCAAAGACCAGTCTTGCCAGACGTTTAACCAAAATTTGGTGCTTTTGTTCGTATTTTCATTTAGTTCTTTTGTTAAAGCAAAATTTGGTGCTTTTGTTCGTATTTTCATCTAGTTCCTCAAGGGCAATTTCATTTCACATTTGTGTTTAAAATACCTTTCCGCCATTTTGTTTGTTTTGGGGAAATCATTAATTGTACTGCAATACAATTAATGAAATAATTGTACTCCTCTCAACCAATCAACATCCAGTAATTTTGTCATCCTAATAATAAGATTAATAATTCTTTGTTGGTGAGTTTCCTTGTATATTGTATGTATATTTTTGAACAACGCGTACAGTTAAGTTAAGTTTAGGTTTTTGGTCTTTGAACACTTGTGGAATGTGATCAATGTGGACGAATGGTCAGAACCTGTTCGTGGGTATTGGAAACGATCTCATATCATTTTCAAAATTTCTTCATAGATCCTGCTTAGGAAATAAATTTAAAACCGCTAGAAGCATAGGCAGTCCACTAAACGACTTAATTTTATGTTAAAACTGCAGTGAAATTATAAAATTGATGAAAATAATCACAAATTTGTGATTATTTTCGTAAATGTTATAATTTCACTGCAGTTTTAATTTAAATTCAGTCGTTTAGTGGGCTGCCTATGCCAGAAGAAACAAAAAGACGATCTTTTATCCCACCAAAATGCTAGTATTGGAAAGCAAGGAAAACTATATCAAACTCTGAAGAACTCTATAATACATTTTGCCTTAGTATAGATTTAGCTGTATAAGATATATAGTATTAGTAAAATGCAAAAGGTTTTTTATAATTGTTTTGTAAAATGTGTTGAATTTTTACCATGTAACATTTTTGCTACTGACATGATAAAATCATAGTCAATATAGGAAGACACTTCCACACATAGTACAAAGATTTTCGGATGTTTAACAGACACGTTTCAAATTCCTGCAGGAAGGAACCCAGATATACTTATAATGCTAATTTTGCGGTTTTCTCACTTAACCTTCGCATGAACATGTCGTTGGCTTCTGGAATATATCCAAAACAATACTTAAAATATACCAGTACCACAAATATGCAAAGTTTTCTAAACCCACGACATATACTGTCTTTCATTAGTAAATCATATATTTATGCATGGTCACCATATAAATTAACACCTTATTCAGAACGTTCGTGCACCATCAGCTATTTATGAAATCCAGCACAAACACTTGGCCATGCAGGATATAAACTTAACAAGTCCTCGACAGCCAGACAGCCATAACGGGCAATTGTTTTTACCTTGAACTATATATATATATATGTATATACATTACTATCAGGTTTCTTTGTTTATAAAAACTTTTGGCAGAGTGCTAAATGGAATTTGTCGAGTCGTTGTCCTTCATTTATATAGATATATAGCCTATTATTGTAAACCTCGCTGAGCATGTTTAAGCGGATGCACACTGGCACGCTACATAGTTATTTTATAAAAAAACAATATGTATATTGTATACACACTCTTTTATCATTTTAGGTTAGGACTTTATATACTCCATGATGTCTCCAAGGTTGCATTTATAAAGCGATACCATTACAATGCAATTAAACATGACCACATAGCATGACTTGCAGATATTAGAATTAAAGTACAGGGAGTCACCTTAAGTAAAACCACTTCAATACCTTCAGGCCATACTTGATAGATTGCTTTGTTGTGACGTTTTGCGGTTTGAATAAGATTGGCTGCCTCCACAAAAATAAAATCTACGGGGGTGCATGATATATAAAAGAAAGCTTCGTTATTGATGAACTTACATGTTTTGAATTCCATACTTCCAGGACAGGCATTCCTGCAATGATTGAGTTTGGATCGTCTTGAGCAGCAGAATTGACAGTATCATTAGCACCAATAACTAAGACTAAATCAGTATCTGAAAAATCATCATTGATCTCATCCATTTCAAGGACAATGTCATACGGCACTCCAGCTTCAGCTAAAAAGCAGAAAAAGTGAAATAAATAACTTATTTTGAAGCGTATATAACTCATAATATAACAATCAACATGCTCTAGTTTTGAATGATTTGTCTGTCGACTTGTGGCAAGTCTATAACGAGTGAGAGGGGCGGGAGGGGAGGGGAGGGGGTGTCGTTGACTCGTAATCGCTTATAGTACTGCAAAAATTGGGATAGGACCTGCTCAATGAAGGCCTTGCGAAAGGATTCAGTTACAATTATCTTTTATATAATAACTTCAGTGAAACACACTGGTAGGCTTGTGATATCACGAGGAGAATGCAAGAATACGGGATTCAAACTGAGAACTAGCACCGTGAAAAATACAATGCCTAGGTCTGGGAAGAGTCCAGGTTCAAAGCACGATTAGCGCTAACCGTGGGTTAAATTTAACTCATTGCTTTGCTTTATGAATATCTGTATGTCTGCAGTTTATTTCAAAACTTTAGAAATTTAGGGACCGGTCATTATTTATGGCAGGGGTGGGGGCCGAAGAGAAAGTATAATGAAGCCGGAAAAAATCATTACCCCACCTTTTTCGAAACAAAATTTCTAGCTACCCCACCGGTGGAATGCCAGAAAATTCTTTTACCCCACCCAAACCTATTTTGTTGCAATGTCAAAGGTTCAGACATAAAATATGTAATGAAACAGTTTAGTATTTTGTATGCATATTACTCATCAAGGTACAAAATTTCCCTTGATGAGTAAGATCATCTGCTGTTAGAGAGTAAATAATAATTATTATAGGGTGCTTTGACCACAGTGGACATTATAATTAAAAGGGAATAGGATTGATTGGTAATACTTGTTTACCAATATCCCTTGCCCCTTATTTCTTGTGGAGTAATTAAAGCACACTAACAGTCATGTCTTTATATTATGGGTTACCCCTACAATAGCAAGGTACTATATAAAAAATTATAGTTATCTGAAGGCTTAAAATTTGTCTACTTGTAAAATTGAAATATGAATGGGTTTTTATTGTTTGTATTCAACGTTATATATATTCCCTTTTCACGAGATAGTGCAATGCTAGTCCCATAAATTATATTAACCATATGCTTCAATATTTTAGAACACTAACCGTATTTCACCATCCTATCTCTTTCCCACTTTAAAGTTTCACTGTATATAATTTGGTTTCTTTCACATTCTTGCATTTCTTTATTAATTAAAATGCAATTTTATTTTGAAACAGTTTCACAAAATATGTGCTCATCCATGATTGCAACTCTCTAAATTCTAAAATTTCCTCTGAAATTCCTTTAATATTTCCTTACTATAGACAATCAGATGTATTATCACGGAATTTTAAAGGAATTCCTTAAGAATTCCCAAGGAATTCTTGAAGTTTATGATATCAATTTAATATTTTAATTCGTAAACAATACAACGATACTAAAGTATTTGTCCCATGTGAGAATATCTGAATTTAGAAAGTTACTGTAAATTAATGAGAAAAAGTTGCTGTTATACAGTGTGAAGATAAAGATATTCATCCGAATTCCAAGTATGATTATATAAACAATTAAATTAATCTGTAAAACGGGTAAATAGATTTCTCTTATTTTATCCATGTATACATGATCTGCTAGTAAAGAAAAATAGCTAGTTGCCAAAGGCTAGAGTTGAACATATTGTGAACTAGCCATTGGAATGATTCTCCAGATTCACAAGCGGCATGGGGCATATTTCATGATTTGCTACCTGAATTGTCCACATGGTTTACAAGCACATAATGGTTATGCAGTATCAAGTGTAGATGCCCAAAAATTAAATCCTGAAAATTTAATAGACTGTACATATACTTTTTGAGATATGTAACAAGAGGATGTTTATATGGGGGTGAGGCTGGATGCCCGGGGTTAGGGGCTACAGACTTAAGGTCACTTTTCCTGAAGCAAGATCTCGGGCTAAAGGGGCGGGATCTCGCTTAGCTATAGCTGGGCCCGCTCTTTACCCATATATACACAAGGTGAACTTTAGTAAGAAATAACAACAAAGACAGGATCTTGCCAAAACTGGGCCAGCTTGGGTACCCTGGGGTTGGCTTGCAGTTGCACCATATAAACAGCCCCTAGATATAGGCAGTATATATTTTGTCTGGTAATTGGAGTCTTTGAGATTTTGTGTGTAAATGAATATAAAAATGACCCTTTACGGGTGGGTTGAGGGGGGTGTTTCTGTCAACATTTTGGAAAGCATGCAATAATATTTTATTGAAAAATTAGAATAATCACATATTAAACTCTGATAGTAGTATATATTGTATTGTGTGTGATTAAAGTAAGGTTATTTTTTTACCCCACCTCTGCATGCAAGGATTTTTTGGCCACCCCACCTAAAGCAACTATTATTTTTCAGTTACCCCACCATTTTCTCTTCGGCCCCCACCCCTGCCATAAATAATGACCGGTCCCTTAACTCTGATGATCCAGACAAGATTTCTGAAAAAATATTTCCAAGTTTATATATAAACAAACTGCTGGGAAGTATGCTTTAAATTTCACGTTAACCCTGGGGTTAAGCTAACCGGCTTTTGAACCGGCCCGAGGCTAAAATTAGTTATATAACCATCCCCATACCTAGCAGAACATTGAGTTGTCCCGGCATACGTCCTGCAACAGGATGAATACCAAAACGAACATTTTTGCCATTCTTTCTCAATATATCGACCATATCAGCAATACCATACTGTGCCTTTGCTACAGCCAGACCATATCCTGGAACTATAATGATATTCTTGGCATCGCGAATTAATTCTACTGTACTATCACTTTTGATTTCAGTATGTGTTCCCTCAATCTTCATCCTTTCACCTGAACCTGCAAGTAGGGTTTAATAAAACTTTGTTAATTGCTTTGTGTTTTGGTGTAACGTTTATAGTTCCTGTTCAGAGGTTCCTGTTGCAAAGCTTTCGATTCCTAAATCTCCAGATTTTTAATATAAGAGGACCTGTTATTAAAAGGACGTGTGAATTGAAATCATGCATGATGTCTTTTATTATTTGCACTGTTGCCCTCCTTTGCAGCAGATCTCTCTGTCTCTGTGCCATGGTTGAGTTCAGTATCAACCAAGTCAAAGGGTTATGTAAGTCGCAACCAACACGCTTACTCACGCGAAAAACACCCACCATCTCCACAGTTGTACCAGTGTAGGTAGTACCAATAATAAGAAAGTTTCGGATTGATAGGAATGCAACTATCTGGGGCCGGTTGTATAAAAAAGTGATTAAAGTTAACTATAATTATGTGCAAACGTCATCCAATAAGAAGCGCGTATTTGAGAGTTAATCACTATTTAACTACAAAATAGTGATTAAAAAAGTGATTAAAGTTAATCGTTTTTGTTTGTGGAAACACCACGTAAATTTATTACTGCAAAAATTTATTTAATTTATTACTGTAAATTTATTACTGCAATTTATTTACGTGGTGTTTCCACAAACAAACAAAAACAATTATATTTTATCGCCATGCAAACATTCAAAGAACTTATGATTAAAGTTAACTATAATTATGTGCAAACGTCATCCAATAAGAAGCGTGTATTTGAGAGTTAATCACTATTTAACTACAAAATAGTGATTAAAAAAGTGAAGAGTTTTATACAACCGGCTAGGACTGTTCGGTATACCGATATACCGAAAATATCGGTATTAAATCAATATCGGTATATCGATACCGGATATTCAACCATACCGATATACCGAAATTTCCGATATACCGGAATTTTTCGGTATATCGTGTTAAATTTACCAACTATAAGGCGAAACCATAACCTTTATTTTACTACTGAATGGCAATTCAGAGAACTTTCTACTGCAATGATTTAGAATTTCCACTTCGGTGAGATTTTACACTGAGTACGTGTCGTTCGAAACATGTTCGAAACAGCTTCGAAATTATCGTTTTCCCTTTTAGAATTACTCAAAATTTCCTTCAAATTCCCATTAAAGAATTTTCCTTTATAATTATCAAAGGAAAACCGGTATACCGATAATATCGGTATAATTTTTTCGGTATACCGATACCGGAAATTTCTCATACCGAACATTCCTACTGAACTGGCCCCTGAAAAATAACATGGAGAACTCCAGAACAACATTTGAAGTTCTCTTTGTTATTTTTCAAGGCAGTTGCATCCCATTCAATCCACCATCTCCATCTTTCATTCTTCTCCATATCAAGAGATGAGCTAACATGAACAAATCACATACAATACCTTGGACAAAATGCGATCGAAAATTTCTAACACATTTAGGACTACGTAATCACGCGACAACTCACGAAAGAAGAACCACCGACAATTAACATCACTGAAGTTGACGGACCAACTTCTCATTATTTAAGAATACCTACGACGAAGATGTGCACGGGCTTATGGATCGAACGTTTTGCGAAATCAATAAACTTCTTTTTCCCCAACAAAACAAAAAACAAAACAAAAAACAAAACAAAACAAAACAAAACAAGAAATTTGGACTTAAATTACGGTTACAAACCTGTGCTAAAGCATAGATTTTGTGACGATTTGTGTTGAATTGCGTGAGGGGTGTAGCACTCTGAAAAAGGCTACTATCTTTTATTGGAATTTAAAATCGTAACGATATTTCGCAAGATATTAGGATTTTGTTGGATGTTTCTTACCCCTTTTGATATTTTTTTTTATGTAATTAGCGCAATAGAAATTTCATTTTAAAATAAATTTTAAATTAATTAAATTACCTTTTTGCCGTACATTTTGAATTTAAAGGACTTAATGAAACGGGCGTAAAGCCCCGGTCAAACGAGGCTGAGAGTTGATAAGAGTTGCAACTTTCGCTCGCGTTTGTCAATTCTTATAGACTCTCATGCACTCTCATCAACTCTCACCAGTGTTGAACTGTTCAAATTTTGATGAGAGTTGATAAGAGTTTTTGCTATCGCACGGTAATATCCAATCAACTCTAACCAACTCTCATGCAACTCTTGTTCTTGTTTGACCGGGCCATAAGAGTTGAGCAAACGCTCATGCAAACTGTCGCTCCTCAACTCTCATTCTTGTTTGACGAGGGCTTAACTAGCCTATGTCACAGAGCTTACAACACAGGCTAGGGCTTAACATGCGTAAGCGGAGTTCCTGCCTGTAACGATGAAGCCAATTAGAAAAGTGACGTAATTCATGACGTCATAATATGCACGCAGTTCGCGCGCCCTCCATGCTCGAGCTGTAGCATCATTCTACCTCAATGTTCCACCTTTGATATGTTAACAAGATTAGGTAGCCGTGCACTGAGTGCACTAAGCTATAGCAGTAATGATGACTCAGCTACAGGCAGTGAGATGGAGTTCGATGACTCCAAAGTTATCTCAGGTGACTGGGTTTTTGTAAGAGAAAAACGACCTCAGAGAAAATGTACGAAACAAAACTCAAGTCAGACAGACGAATGGTTTACAGTGACGAGAAAACAAAACAAGATTAAACCGGATTCAAAGAATGTGAATATTGATTATGACACAATGGATGATCTCTTACAATCTGAGGAGGGTGTTAACACAAAACAGAAAAATAAGTCAAGAGAAACAACCGGTTTTGTTGAAAATCAAAACAATTCAGTGGGAACGGTCTTAACTCGGAATCAAAGGAGACTAATGATGGTCGCTGAAGAAAGCAAAATGATGTTAGAGCGAGGAACTAAACCAAAACGGCTACAAAATACCTCTAGTGGCAGGAATCAGAATAAGCATCAGAATAAAGTCATGATGCAAGCTGAGAGCAACAAGCGAGGACGTAAAAGACATATGATGGCAAGTACATATAGTGGTCAAGGTGGAAGACGTGGTTGTTGAACATGCGCAGTAGCAAGGGAATTCTTTCAACTTCACTCACTATAGCATGGCTGTAAATATCGAGAGTTTCAAGGCTACCAGTGAATGTCACAACTTCCATTCGATAAAAAGCAGTACATTTGTATGTATTGCACCCAACATCGACTTCACTATAGCAATGGAGATACATACTGTCTTGTGTGAGAAGCTTAAATTCACATAGATCACTCGCATTAGCTGTGCATTTTTTGAAGGCTCCCAGCTATTCGCTGACATCAGTGACATGTTTGATTTGAAAATACATTTTCTTTGATTGGGCAACTTTAATTTTTTTTTCATTGTCTCAGGCAAAGATCGTTGAACCATCGTCTGCGTAACTATTCTCACGCGTTTGAAGTCTTCAATTAATCAACTCAGGCAATCAACGTGAACTCACACACATATTCGCACTGCACGTAACAAGTTGTTAACAAGCTCGTGCCAAAAAGCTCGTGGCAACTTGTTACGAATAGCCAGTATTAGTCTTGTTGGAATAACTTGTAGCAAGTCTGTTGATGTCATCATGTTTGTACAGTAACAACTTGTCACAAGGTTAACGTCATCAACCTTGTTACAACTTGTCACAACAACTGAGAGTAAGCTGTGTGAACACATCCTGACATCAGCTTGACAACAACCTTGTTACAACTTGTCACAACAACTGAGAGTAAGCTGTGTGAACACATCCTGATATCAGCTTGACAACAACCTTGTTACAACTTGTCACAACAACTGAGAGTAAGCTGTGTGAACACATCCTGACATCAGCTTGACAACAACCTTGTTACAACTTGTCACAACAACTGAGAGTAAGCTGTGTGAACACATCCTGATATCAGCTTGACAACAACCTTGTTACAACTTGTCACAACAACTGAGAGTAAGCTGTGTGAACACATCCTGATATCAGCTTGACAACAACCTTGTTACAACTTGTCACAACAACTGAGAGTAAGCTGTGTGAACACATCCTGACATCAACTTGACAACAACCTTGTTACAACTTGTTACAACAACTGAGAGTAAGCTGTGTGAACACATCCTGATATCAGCTTGACAACAACCTTGTTACAACTTGTTACAACAACTGAGAGTAAGCTGTGTGAACACATCCTGATATCAGCTTGACAACAACCTTGTTACAACTTGTCACAACAACTGAGAGTAAGCTGTGTGAACACATCCTGACATCAACTTGACAACAACCTTGTTACAACTTGTCACAACAACTGAGAGTAAGCTGTGTGAACACATCCTGATATCAGCTTGACAACAACCTTGTTACAACTTGTTACAACAACTGAGAGTAAGCTGTGTGAACACATCCTGATATCAGCTTGACAACAACCTTGTTACAACTTGTTACAACAACTGAGAGTAAGCTGTGTGAACGCATCCTGATATCAGCTTGACAACAACCTTGTTACAACAACTGAGAGTAAGCTGTGTGAACACATCCTGACATCAACTTGACAACAACCTTGTTACAACTTGTCACAACAACTGAGAGTAAGCTGTGTGAACACATCCTGACATCAGCTTGACAACAACCTTGTTACAACTTGTTTGCAGATCTGTAACAACTTGCGTGCTTGCAGGTGTGTAGTTAAGCCTAGTTCTCATTCATCGCAAACCGTCGGCGATGGGAGCTTTGCGACGTCGGCGACCGCTTGCCATTTATGAGAACACATCAAAAATTATATCGCCGATTGTCCGTAATCGTCGCCGAACATCGGCGATGACATCGCAGGAAACAAAAAAGTTTGTTTCTTGCGACCATCGCCGACTGCCACCTGCTTGAAAAATCTATGAGAAATGAGTAAAAGTTGTTTTTCCTCAACAAGCAAGGAAATAATCAACTGAAGTTTGACAGAAATCATGAACTTTACGTTGAATGGGGCCATTTTGTGCCTTGGTGGGAAATTTCGAAACACATCGGCTGTCATCTGCGACGATCACCGATGTATGAGAACTTTCGTGCATCCGCGCTCGGCGAGTATCGGCGATAAGCGTCGCCGATCGTCGGTGACAGTTTGCGATGAATGAGAACTAGGCTTTAGTGATCAGATCAAAACCTGTTAAATGCTGTTGAGAAACATGAACGTTTCACATGGGCATCGACAATGTTTTGATCTGTTACTGTTATTGTTACTGTTACTGTTACTGTTACTGATCTGTAACTGTAACACAGACAGTGGGCATAGACAATCGTTTTATCTGTAACTGTTCACTGTTAGATGTAAACAACGGTACGTGGTAGTAGGAAGTAGAACAAACCTGTAGACAGTGTTCCATAACCTCCAAACAATACATTAGCCAGTGATCTGTTCATTGCTTTACACATGATGTAAGACAGAATTCCTCCAGAGAAACCAACCAAAGCTCCCACAATGGTAAGAAGATCATTCTGTAACATGAAGCCTTCAGCACATAATGCCCAACCACTGTAACTGTTTAATACTGTGATAACAACAGGCATATCAGCTCCACCAATAGACGCAGTCATGTGAACACCCATTAATGATGAAAGTACACCTGTTGTACCTGAATATAAACATACAGTGTCAGACTCACATGAAATAAATTTATACATATAAATTTAAACAATTGCATTTTCCCAGTCTATTTTGAAGAAGTACTGTAATTCCTTTTACCAAAGGGCCGCGCTAGACCTTAAGCTTGGTTCCTAGTTGTTACTAGGGAAATATGAGCTAGGTAGACTCTCGCTTTTTCATTGAGCGAATGCGATTCAGAAAGTGAGCTATCAGCAACAACAAAAACAAACTATTCCAATTGATCCTTTTCTTGGTACAGACTTCAGTCCTCACACCTTTCTTGGCTCAACGTTAATGCTGATTTGCTTATAGCGCTTGTTTAAACAATGCGTTCACGAATAAAACCGAACAGAGTACCAGTTGGTGATTAAAACATGTGGGTGCAGTGAAGGTAATGTACAACACCCTACCGTTGGTGATTTGTGCATGAGTTCACTACCAATCTCGTACTCATATGGTCGTATTCATGCAAATGTAAGCTAAAAATATACATGCAAGCTACAAATACTACATGCAACTGTTTCTACTTTTGCCATTAAAAAGAAAACATGTTCTGCATTATTAGTCAAAAGACTTGCACGGTTTAGCTATATAACAGAGGTCAATTGTTCACAGATCGATTAGCACAATAACCTACTATTTTAAGTTTAATTTTAAACTTTAAAAATGAAATTTTAATTGATCCAGATAAAAATTTATCAGCTTTATTGGAAACATAAAACATATATTACAATATTTTATATAACGGGGTTATAGTGCAACCGAAACAACGTGATGCAAGGAAGGTCTCTTTTATCAGCTTTTGAAATATGAACAACGGGCACACGGTGTACACTGTATATCGACATTCTGGGCTTAAAATTTGAAAGAAAACCTACCAAGTGTCGCCATTCCAGGACCAACGTCATTGGTTTTCATGTAATATGCCAAAGCTCCAACATTAGCCAATGCCATTCCTGCATTAAGATAATTCTTTCCAGGTAAGGTGAGAGGATTGGAATTCAGTAAACCTTGTAGTTTACCAAATGCTGTTAGTGAACCAGTAAATGTTATTCCGCCAATAAATGTTCCTGCAAATATGGCGGCTTTATGTACTTGACCAGCGGGATCTGTCGGAAATACATCAACGTCTATCATATACTTGGAGTAAGCAGTTAGTACTGCGGCTAATCCTACAAAGCTATGGAACAAAGCGACCAATTGAGGTAAATCTGTCACAGCAATACGTCTTGCAATGATTGTACCCACTGTGCCACCGATACCACACATAGCAGCCATTTGACCCAAGATTTCTGGCGAAACATTTAGTGACCCAACAGTTGCAGCCATGCCAGTTGATATACCAATAATACCTGGAAAGTAGAAAAAATTCAATAAGATTACCTGAATATTTTCGATCACGAAATAGTACACGCATTTTTGAATCTAGACTCTCTGAAATGCCATTTCCTGGACTTTGGGGAGAGATTTTACAGAATTCTGATGGTCAGAAAACGACATTGTAACATATCAGAGGTCCTGGCCAATGTTTTTGCTCTACAACTTGAGCCTGGGGGCCCCCATTTGGCCCATTGAGGTTGGGGGCCCCCGGGTTCTCCCGGTCTGAGCCCATAGTAGTTACGCCACTGGCTATATTATCCGCATTTTACAACATTTCGCAATAGAAACTTCGGACTATTACTAATTGTGTGATGCTCTTTCAAGCTGTGATGAAATTTTTGTCTAAACTTGTCTACATCAAAATTTTGTTCATTAGGGAATAGGTCAATCCGAGCTTTCTTATTATCGTCACCGACCTTCTACGTAGTTTGTAAAGGTCGCAGACCTTCTACGTAGTTTGTAAATATTTCGTTTAATCGTCATTTGTTTCGTCATGTTTAACAAAAGGCACGTTATATACTATACCCTGCAAGCAGAGCAAGATTTCCCCCGAGAAAGGAAAATGATATTTGTATATCACTGTATATGCCACAACGGTTTCAGCTCGCCTATTATGCTGTATTTCTGTGAGCGTGGAAAACACCAGGGGCCACCGAGGGAGGGGGGGGGGGGGCATTTTGCCCAGCGCCCCCAGCTCAAAAGGAGGCCCCAAAGCAATGAAGGCACTTAACACTTCTTGACACAAGATTGCTTAACAGAGAAAATGAGTCCTAGCTGCGTAAGTGCAGGATAATATGCAATGAAGTGTAATATATTGTAAAACACCACTTCTTCCGTTTTCAATTATGACCTCATTGTTGTGCCCAGCGCAACCTCTCGACGGCCCTGCCTCTAGCTGGCACGCAGCCCAGGGGCAGGTTGTTCAAAAGCCGATTAGCTTAACCCTAGGTTAACTTAAAATTCAAAGCAAACTTCCGGACAGCTTGTCTATCAATTTGGCAATGTTACTTCAGAAATCTTGTCTGGACCGATAGGAGTTCACTTTTCTGACGTTTTGAGATAAACAGACGTACAGATTGAAATACACAAACCAAAACATCAGGTTAAATTTTAACCGAGGTTAGCACTAACCCACCTTTGAACAACCGGCCCCAGGATAAATAGAAATTTAAGCTAAAACTAAGATGAACTTCCACCCACACATCTTATCAGTAATCAAATTGTCTGGTTCTTTGGTGTGAAGGTGTTAAAATTTATCTAAAAGAGAGCTTATGCTTAAAAGTGAATGCACTTTCTAGGAATACATGTATTTACATTTATTTATTTTCTAATTGTATACCGCCCTATATGCTTAAAATCTTCCCTTATGCACTCCCATACATCCATATACACTTGGAAGTTGCGGATCGAGAGAGATGCAAGAAAAATACAAGCAGAACTTCGTCGGGAACAAGGGCAACCTCGTTCCCAGGCTCTTCCCTCTCTGGGAACGAGGTTGGGGCGTTCGCTCGAAACGTTGAAGTTGTGCTTGTGTTTTTCAGGTCGTTTTATCTCTCTAGATCCGCAGCTTTCTTATTATCGTCACTACCTATACTGACCAGTGGCGTAGCCAGCCCGACAATTTCGTCCCGCTATGCAAATTCAACATCAATATCATTATTCATTTCTTTAGAAATTTATTGTTTTCACAGTCAATGAACACAAAAATATTTGCATAGCGGGACAAAATCGTCGGGCTGGCTACGCTACTGATACTGACACAGACCATTATTCGAGTGTATATATACTTACCTAATGCATTTCCAGCTCTTGAAGTACTTTGATGTGACAAACCAGCTAAAGCACCCACACAACATAATGAAGAAGCAAGATATGCCATCTGATGAATATCACTGTATCCTTGGGCATTACCATACAGATATCCTCCGATTAATAACGCACCAGGAATACTGTACAAGTAGGTATGCTCAGGAGGATCATCTAGGGAAATTTAAACAATTTATTCCATGAGGTAAGAGATACGACGTTGCACTTTATTTATACCTTGATACACGTGAGCATGCATGTGGTTATACGGAGGTGAACCAGCCTGGGTATACGAGCTACCTTGTATCACCCAGGTGAGTTTTTACGGTGTTTACACGAGACTGTTCAGGCGGACTGGCTCACAAAGCAAAGTAAAAACCTGCAGTTCCACTTTGCGATTTTTAAAACCGGAATACAGCATGTCGAGAAAATGCATTTACAATTACATTATTTATATTTGCGTAAACTGAGAGCATTAAAGCTCGGATCAAACGCGAGGATGAGAATGGACAAGAATTGGCATGCAGTCAAGTGACCTTGGATAGCTGTTCCTAATGCTTTCCCAAAACATCATGTATTCTATTTAGTTAAAACGTAGTTGGAACACTCATCAGAACTTTAGTTTGTTCATCTAGAATTAGAAATGTCCAACGTTACAATGTGTGACTGCTAACTCTCATCAACTCTTATTCCCGTTCGACTGGGTCTTAACTCTCTGTCCGGGTAGGCTAGGCAACCCAGGAAATCCGTATGAAGTGATAGCGCCAGTAGGAAGGGCCAGCTTGCTCAAAACCAACGAGAGAAATGCTTTCTTACAGTAAATATATAGCTATAAACGTTTACAATAATAAGAACAATGGTACTTCCAGATACGAAGATAACCCTTGTGTACTGTACGCACCTGGCCGTTTAAACATGTCCAACATGCGTTTAGTAATGATAAATCCACCAGAAATGTTAATTGAAGATATCAACGCAGCCAAGGCAGCCAATGATGTGGCAGTATTGTTAGGAAGCAACCCACCACCCATCATGACCAGTCCTCCTGCGGCCGTGATACCAGAAATAGCATTAGTAACAGACATGAGGGGGGAATGAAGAGCAGGGGTGACACCCCATACTACTTTATACCCAATCACACCAGCAAGAGAGAATGTTGTCACCATCGTGGCAAAGGCGGGGTTTGGTGATACGAAACCAAGACCAATAACACTGGAAAGTACAGCTAGAAACAATAGAAGGAAAATCATAATTAAATTATAGTACTTGTACGCTCCCGTTTCTGATACAATGGCTTTAGAGCCCTTTATCTTCTAACTAATTGCAAAATTATAAACAGGCCTTTTATATTCACTGATATAACTGTATATGGTTGTCAGTGTGTCACCTGTAACAAGATACAAGGCTCTAAACACAATATCTCAATCAAGAAAACGAGGCTCTACAGCCAAGACTGAGCACTTTCCGGAAGGGTGAATTACGTAGCAAGCAAACCCATCTGGATACGAAAGCTGAATGATTTTTTAACATTTGTAACATAGATCGCTGAGTGATTACCAGACGTACGCGAATACAGTCTGGTACAGTTTATTCAGCCAAGTACCACGCAGGTACGCGGGACTCTCACTGCCTGCGTACTCACATTTTGCTGGTGCCGTATGACCAGCACATTTTCCAAGGTATTCAAAAACGTAACATCCGAGATCTTCGATATGGCGTGAAACATGATTAGATGAGATAGGACCAAGGAATGTGGAGTCAATTGCAGTGTATAATGCAATTTATTGTGCTCCTTTTTCAAACTCGCAGTTTCTGGTTACTGAATGAATACTTTTAGAAAATTGTACGTTGTGTACTTTATCTTGACACATGGCAACAATCACTAGAGTACTATAGTGAGGTACAGCTAAAAATCCTGAATTATCGCATCCTGTTGTTTATGCAAGAGAATATGAAGGAACTTCTAAAAAATCTGATTCTTTACTGAATCTTTTAAACGCGTACCTAAACTCCCTAGTACTTCATATAGCTTACGCTATTATTGTATTCACCACATTTCATACAGGATATACGCTTCTGGATACTATATCATCTTAGCTACAAAGCCTAGTGATTGAGACCTGTTGTTTCAACTCAGGTTTCATACACGAAAACAAGAAGCATTAACATTGGCGTATATTTTACCATGGATAATAAAATACATGGGATAGGAAACTAGCTGACGTGACCTAATGTTTTCAATGGGATGATGGCGTTGAAACCTAGTTGCAAACAAAATTCTCAAAAACGGCATGTTTAGCGATAATACAGCTAAACATTTTAGTCAAAGAGCAAATAAATATAACTAGGCCATTCTACGATGAAATCTCTAAGTATTCCCGGTCAATTTTAGCGAATATTTCAAGCACTAAACAGTGAAAAATGCATTGCAAATTTCGTAAAAATTGGCGACGCCAATTTCGTAGCTACAAATGTAAACAAAATACAAAACAAAGACGAAAAACATTTACCTTGAATACTTTGTCGTGGCTTAGGCATGTTTTTAAAACAATTAGACCAGTTTATGCTTCAATATTACTCTTTTAAAGCGGAAAATATAGCGAAAACTGAGAACTTTGGCAATACACGTGACGTCACAGATTGCAACTAGGTTTAGACTGTGACGTCAGGAAGTTTCCTATCCAGTTATTTTACAATCCATGATTTTACATACCAGCCGTGCCACCAGCTTCATACATCTTTTCCTGAAAGGGATTAATTTCTGGAGGTTTAACAAGCGCCTTTCCTTTAGTTGGTTGTGTAGGTGCGACAGGTGGAGTTGCTGGGGCCGGTGGAGGCCACATCATTTTCCCTTGATCAAGAACTATTGAACCACGTACAACATCATCTTCAAGATCAACATCAAAATGATCTTTTTCTCCCATAGAAAGAAGGTATTTAGTCATGTTGTTTGCATACAATGTGCTGGCTTGAGTTGGGAGACGACTTGGTAGGTCAGTGTAGCCAATAATCTGGAATATTGAGAATAGGTGAGAATATAAATTTAGAGATGTAGTTTAATTCATAAATGGCTCAGTAAACACCCATATTAAACACTACAAGTTTTAGAAACTCCAGGCCTTCGTTCGAAACGTCGAAATTCTCCGTATATTTTTCAGGTAGTTGCATCCCCACCAACGAAAGCTTGTTCATATTATTGGCAGTCATGACTATTTAATATTTAAAATACCTCTAATTCTATATTCGTCCAAAAGAAATGTTACAAGCAGAGCCAAAAGCGGTTTTATCGCGAATTAGTCAATTAAAGCTCTGAACATAGAATGCCAATCGCTATATATATTTGACATGTATTATGCCTATAAGCAATTGCAACACAGCTGTATATAGACGGTAAACGTCGTTCGTTTTTCTATAGTCATGCCAAAGACAATACTTTTACTGCCACAAGGCTTTTTACTTCGATAGCTTTATAAAATATCAAATTTTGAGGAAGATTCAGTTCGTATTCCAGCCCTTGCGTGATTTTGACAATTATGTTGCCCTATTGCTGGTCCTACCGTCTAAGACGTCAAAAATGTGTAGCTAAAAACATGGATTCATATTCCCTTTATGATAGTTCTGATATAAGGATATTCACACAAGATCCTCCACATACTGTCTTTACCATTTGGGCGCCAAAGCTGGATGCCCAGTTCAAATAAGTTCAAAGTCCTGAAGCAAACATCCTATTTTATTTACAACGCATAGAATAATCAGTATGAGAATTAAAACGTTAACTGTTGCGGCACTAACCTGCACTCCTTTATAGTTGTAACTCTCTCCAGGTCTTGTCACCTCACAGTTTCCTCCAGTTTCAGCAGCTAAATCAACAATGACCGAACCTTGCTTCATAGATTCCACCATTTCCTTTGTGATCAGTTTTGGAGCTGGCTTGCCAGGGATCAATGCTGTGGTGATAATTATGTCAACCTCTTTTGCTTGGTTAGCAAATAGTTCCATCTCTGCCTTGATAAATTCAGGTGACATTTCTTTTGCATAACCTCCAACACCTGAAATTAATAGAGGACTGAGATACTGGCCTCTGCAGGCATCACCTGATTTCTCCAAATGCGAGCCCGCAAGCAGGCAGACAAAAGCAGAACTATATTAGAAGCCTGCGGGGATGGGGGGTTAACATGTCATGGTAAACTGTTCCTTGGCATTTTCTCAATTCAAACTGGTATTTAAAACACCCCTCAAGATCTACACACATGTGCAAATCCAATCAAAAACTCGATTAAAAAGCTTTTAAAATCCCCCACTGTAAAACATCATACTTGGGTTTCCTTACAGTTCTTAAAGAGTGGATTTGGACTTTGGATATATTAAAGTAGATTCACAACATTTGCGTCAGCTGTAGTTAAACACATATCATGACCAGATCAATGATATTGAATTTCATTTCTATGATAAGTCTTAAACCTATTTTCTAGAAAATACTTAATATACACATCATAGCATTGTACTAGGCAGCATGACTTCACGTACCTTCCCCAGATTCCTCAATGTCTTTAATTTCCAAGAATTCAGCTCCCAAAGATTGAACTTGTTCTTTCACAGCTTCACGTGTGTCGAATGCTCGCACAATAGCACCCAGTCCTTTCGCGTTAATGACTGCCGAGAGACCAGCCACACCACCACCTTCATGAACGAAAAACATGAATTATGAAGTTTTCCTTGAAAGATCAACTTAGGTTGTTGTTGGAGCATCAACAAAACTAGTGTTGTGGTCCTGGTCACATTACAAAAATATGAAAATTTTCTCCCACAACCGGGCGCCCATTTTGCAACAACAGATTCAAACATTAAAAGCCCAGTGTTGTTTTTTTTAAACCAACTTCGTTAATGTTGTATTTGACGGGCAGATCAGCAACAGCGGAAACAACAACAGAATGCAGCATTTAGCCTAAATCGTTATTTCGAGCTACAGCCATTATTTCTGGTTGGGCTTGGCCACCCCCGCGATAAAAAGCCACTAACTCCCCGACGAAGGCTCGAAACGTCGAAGTTCTGCTTAAAAAAATCATTTTGCATACGTACGGATGGTTTAACCCCTCCCCCTTTGTACACAAATACATGCATCAATCATATCCCTCCCACCTCTCATACACACGTATAACTACTAAATGGATGCCCCCCTCCCCCAGCTATATTCCATATCCTGGCTAAGTCCCTGGATTTACAGTATGTATCACAACTTGAGAGAATATAACACAATGTGGACTTAATATACTGATCTAGTAAGAAATTGTTTATGTGCAAAGACATCCCTACCTATGACTAGAACTTTAGCAGGAGGAACTTTCCCAGCGGCAGTTATTTGTCCCGAAAAAAATCGACCAAAATGATTGGCAGCCTCAACTACAGCTTTATAACCAGCGATATTAGCCATAGAACTCAACGCATCAAATGACTGAGCACGACTTATCCTGGGTATACAATCAACAGCAAAGCTTGTCAGTTTTTTATCTGCCAATTTTTGAACTAGATCTTTGTTTTGTGCTGGATAGAGGAAGCTGATAAGAGTTGAGCCACTTTTCATTAATTCTGATTCGTGAACTCCAAATTCAGGATGGGTTCCTGGCGGACAAACCTGCAAAGATAATACACATTCATTCATTTTATAATTTTATAGAAATGCAAGACATTCTGTCGTGGTACTTCACACGTTTATAGACTTTCCAATACCTCAAAAAAAGTCCACTATAAGTATTGGATGAATTAAAGACATTTATTATCGCAGTAAAGTGAATCTCATTATCAGCTTTCCCGCGCTGCACATGGCGGTCAATTTTCAATGATGTTAAATTATTCCAATTACGTATTTGCCACCAGATACGAGGTTGATGCACAATGTGAAATCAACTAACATGCAACGTTCACTCAATGTGATCACTTGCAAACACTTCACTATTATGTGCAGCAGCACCATATATATACGAGTTATTGAGTGCTCAAAGAATGGAGTACTGAGTTACGTCGGTACCAAGAATATTTTCACATTTTCTAGAGAGGATCACATTTGACACCAGTAAGTGGTAGTGGAAGTCAAATCTGAACCTCTCTAATATTGATTTCACATAATAAATCGAAAATTTCAACTTTTTTGTCGGGCCCTAAAAACACGAATTTCAACTTTTTCCTTGGACCGGTCCGTACGAAAAATGCACTGTTTTCTATATCCATTGTTTTCTCTAATATTGATTTTACATCCACTGTTTTCTATAAGTGCTTTGAAGCCCGTGCTTGTCACTTCACAGTATGTCGCGCATGACAAAAAATATATAATTTCCGGTCTTCATAATACTACATGCATGTATGTATTAATAATACACTGTAAGTTAACTACTGCAGTACCTTTAAAATAATATCTGAATTGCTGTACATTTCCTTTAAAGGTTTGACTTGAGCTCCTGCCTCAAGGTAATCGGAATCTTTAAACTGAGCATTTATTCCAGCACCTTCTTCCACAATTACATTAAATCCTGTCTTTATTAAAGATTTCGCTGCATCTGGTGTCAGACCAACTCTCCTCTCGTTAACTTGGATTTCCTTAGGAACACCAATGGTAAACTCATTATACGGCCTTCCTTTGGGCACCTTGTCTTGATCTGAAATCATACAAAATAGTTTATAAATTACGCTTAAGTTACCTTTCTCTAACTCTTTATTAATATTTACTTTACTTTGACTGAGTTTGACGAGTACGATCGGATGGTACTAGCCAGAGTAACATATACTTAAAGAATCCCGTCGGCAAAAAAGAGTTAAAACAAAAAATCTGCTTTTTAGACTTTGTCTCAGAATCACCTTTTGCTTGTGTTGAACAAAATTTCACAGCACAGCCTCCAAGTCTTGGTAGAAAGTTAGCATCCTGTAGTAATAATGAAAAAAGTCTATACGTTGATAATTAGTAATTGTACCCCACGACAATGTAATGTACGGTATGGTTGGCACTCGACTTTATATAGACGGCCCTGAAGGGGGCCTAGATCTCATTTGTCAGCCCACTTTTTTCTAAATCCCATTCCCCAGCCACTTTCTTTTTGTCTAAATTCCAGTTTCAACTGTAAATTTAAAAGAATATCCCTGAGCAGGTGTTTCATGTGTATGTGCTGAATTTTAAAACACAATATATTCTGCTTTGAATAACTAACTTCACAAAATAAAAGGTGAAGGTAAATCCCAGTTCCCATTTCACCAGGACCCTCCGTATAGCCTATGCTGTAGATCAATACAACCCGCATTTATTCGTGCGAGGACTGGAAAACCGCCTTAGGAGCTGTTTACATGAGCCCTACAGGGAGGGCTGGCCCTACTAGGCGAGATCCCGCGTGCTATTTGAAATCCTTATTAAAAATTGTTTACGTTTACATGAGAAGAGGGCCAGCCCTCCTAGGCGAGATCTCACTATTACTCACCCGAGATCTCGCCTAGTAGGGCTGGAATTTTCTCATATAAACGCAGTAGAGAGGGCTGAATTGAATCGTCGAATCGATTTTAGACTAAACTCTTTGAAGCTTTTTTTGTTTTAAGGATGTAGTTCTAAACGGATATTCAAATGTCTGTTGGCTTTTATTCCAAAATTTAGTTGGCAAACTATGATTTTGGACGCCAAAATAAAAATGAGTCGCACGGAAGCCATTTAAGTGCTACTTGCGGAAAGAAGCTATCCCTACCAGTAGGGCTGATTTTTCTCATGTAAACAAGCAGTGAAAATTAGCCCTACTGCTAGGGCCAGCCCTCCCGGTAGGGCTCATGTAAACAGCCCCTTAACAGGGAAGCATTCACATATTGGCAATAAACAAGAGATCATCTTAGAGTTATCCAATGGCCAACCACATTGCAATTGGGTTTTAAAATAATAGAGAAAAAATATGAAGAAAAAAACAACTTTACCTTATGTATAAAACTTCTCAAATGGTAAGTCAAATTTGTTCTAACATTTCTGGATCCTAAAAATTGTATACAGCTTAATTACCTTGTTTATGTGTACAAAAAAACTAACAAAATACTTGAACTTGAGGCATGCATGGGTTATCAATGCAGATGCGACTTGATCAATAATATAATCTGCAACTTATTGCCTAATAATATTTTTTCTTCAATATTCCTATCAGTTTCTTGAAATATTGATTTCTCTCTCAATAGTCATATTCTTTCCAGAAATTATCATATTCAAACTAGTCCAAAACTTGATATTACTGTGATGTTAAGTACAACAAGTCTCAAGACAACAAGCTTAGACGATATTTTAACTATTATTCATAGCTCCAAGATATCCAAAAAAACAATGGGTGTCAAATGTAGTGGTTGCAATTATATTTTTACATTTTCACACTAATATTACCTGTAAGCAGTTGTCCTGGACTTCTTTTCAAGAAAGTTGCACCGGCTTGAAGAAGCATTTTGTTCAGTTTATTTTCTATTGCCAGCAATCGGGTTCTTTAAAATATAAAGTTAAAGGTAAATTTTCGTGTAATTTTAAATTTCTTGCAGTGGCTGATAAATGTTTTTCATTGAAAATGCCACAGTGAAGGAGAAAGCCACATCAATTTTGCCACTGATCTTGGTCAAATGACTGCGAGAACAAGGGGGAAAGAAGCATAGCTGACATTCAGTCCTGTTTAGTATGTCATGCACTTCCTCGTATCACTGGGAGAAGACGTTGTGTGGAGAGATTCATGAAGGAACATCAACAGAAGAATGTTGGATGAAAGTGCATGGCACACTTGCATGCGCTGAGGTTTTACTATATTCAGCGTGTCATTCTCATTACAATGCTGACACGCTGTCGTGAGTCCACCCAGATCAACCTCATAATCTCTTACGTGAACGAAAAAAGTGGGGAAAAAAGAACTGTTGATCCATTCGGACAGACTCAAGCTGCCTGCAGCAACAGTATATTACAGGGTTAAAACTGACCTTAGAAATCCTTACGCAGTGTTGTAAAAATTACCAAAAAAAAAGTAACGAGTAAAAATTACAATTGCTTCTCCGCAAAGGTAATTTATTATTTATTACAAATTACGAATTACTTGTTAAAAAGTAACTGATTACTAATTATTTGTCAGATTACTTTTTACTTAATCGATACACCTTTCAAAAATTCAGGTGTTCAACACTATTGCATGTTCAAACTACGCATTTTTAGGATTTATTCAGCAGATATTGGGTTTTTTATATATTTTGATACCTCCAATTTCAAATTAAATTAGTTTTAGTAACAGAGAGTTCGTTGCTATGACGACATACGTTTACAAAATTCACTCCAAAATGACCTATCGCCTTGTATAGTTGGAAAAGAAGCAAGGTGACCCCCAATTTTTTTCGTGCATTATTTTACTTGGAAGAAAAACTAACAATTTGCAAAATATAAAAAAATTCTGTAATGCCATTTTTTGGAAAATGTCGTACTATTCGGTAAAATGTTTTTGGCATTACAGATTTTTTTTATTTTTTGTATAATCATGAAAGTTTTTTGCGGTGCAATACAGCATGTAAAATTTGAACATAGGTCACCAGACAAAATAGAGAGATATAGCGCATTTTTTTTCTAAAATGGAAAATTCTAATGACGTCAGCAATTGACATAAAACGCTATAGAACACACGCAATGACGCCAGATGGCGCGAGCAACTGCTCACGTCAGGTCATTTTGGAAGTTGTCACATTTTGTTAAGGTGGCTCGATATAGTTATCACAAAAACCCTGCTCAAGAATCGCGAACAAAACTGGGCGACCATTTTTACGCGCAGGTCGTGCAAACTGATTAACAAAATGAAAGAACTTCCAAAATGACCTGACGTGAGCAGTTGCTCGCGCCATCTCACGTCATTGCGCGTGTTGTATAGCGTTTTGTGTCGATTGCTGACGTCATTAGAATTTTCCATTTTAGAAAAACAATGCGCTATATCTCTTTATTTTGCCTGGTGACCTATGTTCAAATTTTGCATGCTGTATTGCACCGCTAAGAACTTTCATTATACAAAAAATAAAAAAATTCTGTAATGCCAAAAAAAAATTACCGAAGAATATGACATTTTCGCATTTTCTAAAAAAATGGCATTACAGAATTTTTTTATAATTTTGGTAAATGTTAGCTTTTCGTCCAAGTAAAACAATGCAAGAAAAAAAACTGGGGGTCACCATGCTTTTTTTCCAACTATACGAAACGATAGGCCATTTTGGAGTGAATTTCGTACACGTATGTCGTCATAGCAACGAGCTATCTGTTACTAAAACTAATATAATTTGAAAGTAGAGATCAAAATATATAAAAAACACCAATATCTGCTGAATAAATCCTAAAAATGCATAGTTTGAACATGTCAAACTGTTAAACACCTGAATTTTTGAAAACTGTATCGAGCCACCTTAATCAGTTTCTGCGACCTGCGCGTAAAAATGGTCACCCGGTTTTGTTCGCGTTTCTTGAGCAGGGTTTTTGTGATAACTATATCGAGCCACCTTAATTAAGCACTAATAAGATTGAACTGCTACAATAAATATCAAAATGCAAAAATAAATCGTATTATTCAACTGCGTTGAATTCGTTACTTATTTGAGTAGGGCAATTTCTGTGCAGTCGCGCATAACCAGTTATCCCTCGACAGACCTTCGACTTCAATGTCATTTCCTTCTGAATTGTCATTTCAATGTCATTTCCTAATATGGTAAGGTTGGAAAAAATGGAAAAGCACATAAAAGTAACGCAAATTACTTTCTTCAAACTGTTACTTGTTACCTTAAAATCACTTTCGTGCAACAAGTAATTAACGAAAAAATACTCATAGTACCGCGTTACTTCAGTAACAAGTTTTTACAACCCTGTCCTTACGTCACATCATGGTCAGACAATGAATATCCACATGTATCCCACATTGCATTGCGTATACCTAATGTTTTGATGGATTGAAAATTATGTGACGTAAGCACTTGCAATTTTTGCTGCGATTTCTAGTGCGATTTTCCCTTTCTGATACATGTGAACGAGTAGATACGAGTTAGTACGAAGACTATATTAACCCTCATCTAAACATACATCAAAATTGCAGCAAAAATTGCAAATGTAAACGGGGCTTAAGGGTTATTAGCAGGTCACAATTCGCAATTTGCGAGTCGATTTACTTGAAAATAAAAACAGGAGTGCATACAGGTCAGTGGTGTCTGACCCGAAATATTGCTTTAATATTAGAGATTTAAGCCCGTGTTCACACTACTAAAAGTTGATTCTTTAAGACCTTTACAAGTGCCTCCACAATGCAGGAAATGCCATTCCCGAAACCCCAAATTCAATTTCCCAAAATAGAATCCTGGCGGCACCACTGATACAGGTGACACTGGATTTTAATATGTAAAAACATTATTGGTCCAAAACAGTTATTTTCTTCATTTTTCAAACATGTAGATTTAGAGATTCCAAGCATTTTTTTGTAGTTCGAACCCGCGATTTCGATTTCACATGGAAACATGACTTCCTGCGAAGATGTGGTGACCTGATCAGTTAAAATGAGGGCTGCTTAGGGTTTGGGGAAAGTGTGTGCAAGATCCAGGTAAATTTATTGTCCAAAAACATGTGAATACGAAATCCAGTATCGGATCTCTGTCACTATCATAAACAACTCCTGTTTAATTAATTGAATTTGTAACAAAACATGCAAGTATAAACTACAGTGCAAATAAGAATGGGCATACAGTAAGTATTTCTTCATGCTGGTTTTTAAGGAAATATTTGATCATTTGTGTATTTGCTCCACAACAACTGTCGACAGACATTAAACAAAACAGAGCAGGTAAAATTTAGACATGTTTCAATCTTACACAATGGTGCTTAGGGGTGCACCGGAACCAATTTTTAAAGTTCTGTCTGGAACCTGAACTGATTCATTAAGCGATATATGTTCATAACTTCATATGTTACTTTGTCTGCTGCCAGACAGTCAGGCACTTTCAGTCATCAAGGAGAGAACTCACAAATGTTAGAATAAAAAGATTGACTAATGTTAAACGTCATAATGAAGTGTTAACAGTGTACATTTTTCTTGTGTAGTCCAAATTTCTTCCTAGTATGCTATTCAATAAATAAACTTAATATTATATCACTCTGAAAACAACAAAGTTCCAGTTCCAGCCATGGTTTTTTTATTACTTCCGGCCAGAACCGGAACTCTGAAAAATCGGGGTTCTGCAGCCAGAACTAACTGGACCGAGTTCTGGTGCACCCGTAATGGTGCTAACTGCTATATTTGTAATTTTAAAAAGAACAAAACAATAGACACTACGAACACTATTTTCGGAGTGTCTATTGTTTTGTTCTTTTTAAAATTACTCAATGGCAACCGTAATTTCTATATTTGTAACAAACACCAAAATGTTATTCCATGTCTGGACATTTTAACCCATTCACTACTTTCAGTGGCAATGTACTCTGATGTGCCCTACTTTATTATGTTACTCTGTCTAATTACCAGTCAATTTCACTTGTCAAGGGGAGAGTGCTGCTACTCAATGGGGTAATCGACTACCTGCCTATGCAGCAATGCACTCTGATGTGCCCATTATTTTACTCTAACTAACACCAGATGATTTTACTCATCAAGGGGAGAGTGCTGCCAGCTCGCCACTCAATGGATTAAACAACAACAACACAATGCTCTTTTAATCATTGTGTTCGCTTCAAGGGGACAGATAGGATGGCACAAAATGTCAATTTTTAAACAAGTTTAGCTCACCCAATTCCTCTGAAATTTTCCATGCACTGCAAGTGCTCAATGAAAAGCATTATTATTATATATATACATAAATACCTAAAATGCCTAAAAGGTATTTAGTAAGATTTTGCCATGCAGCCTTACAATCTTTGATAACAGGGTTAGCAGGGCTTGAAATTTTAATTTTTTAGCACCATCCAATGGGGTACTACAATCCTGGCCAAAACATTGTGGACAACCCACAGACATTCGCCTTGAATGACATTTCTCTAAACAAATAGTGAAATATGATCAAGTTAGGTCAAATGAAATGGTGATCAGAAGTGGGGTTCCACAGAGATCAATTCTTGGACCAATTCTATTTTTGCTTTACATAAATGATATTGAACAGTGCAGCAAATTACTTTCATTCATATTATTTGCTGACGACACTAATATATTTTATAGCAACAGCTGTCTTAAATCACTTAATGTAATCTTACAAACTGAAATTAACAAAGTTACAGAATGGTTAAATGTCAATAAATTATCTCTAAATATCCAAAAGACAAAATTCATTTTATTTAGATCTTCTAACAAAAAATCAAAACATGAAATTCAAATTATTATGAATGATGTAAATGTAGAATAAGTTAAAAGTACAACATTTCTTGGTATCATCATTGATGAATGTCTGACATGGAATGATCATATAACTAAGGATTCAAAAAAACTCTTGAAAGCGTCTGGAATAATAGCTAAAAATAGACATTTCTTAAATCGAAATGCTATCAAACTAATTTATTATAAATGCATTAGTCTATCCATATCTGATTTATGGCAATTTAATTTGGGGTAGCACATACAAAACCCGAAAGTCGTACTTGGAACACACTGAGGCTATATATATTCAAAGAATTACATATACTTGATATTTTTTAAATCAACAATATTTATTTAACTGCTTTATCTATGTTTCGATATCATCATCTTAAAAATTTACCAGAATATTTTACTAACTACTTCGTTACAAACAACCAAATTCATCAACATAATACAAGAAACGCATCAAAACTTTTTAAATGTTATAAGAGAACAAATTATGTAAAACACATTCTTTCAAATAAAGGAGTTGATGTGTGGAACAAATTAGAAACAAATCTGAAAGACATAAATTTCTATAATACCTTCAAGAAACTAATTAAGCAACACTTTATACTAAATGCAAATTTGACATGTACTTGGTCAGTTGTTAGAGACTGTGCTTGTCACAGGAGTTAAAGCACGTTTACGCATTACGACCGGTCGGGGTACCTCTTTTATGATTGATGCCACCAAATGACGTTTTATCTGGCTTACAAAGAATTATTTTTAACATAGGTCCTATCACTTTGGCCTGAATGTGTGTAAACGTGCTTTCAACAATTTTAAATTTTTAATTTTATGTAAATTTGTAAATGTCGACAGAAGTCAAATCGGGAGGTAGCCTTGCATGGGCTATTATGGCCCGTTCGCTATTTTCCCGTTTAGGAACTGCATCCTTGTTGTATTTGTACCTTATTAATGTAATATTAAGTTCCTAATAAAGCTGTTAAAAAAAAAAAAAAAAATCCAGTTACAAATACATAGATTCAGAAATCACACTTTCTTTATGCAGACAATGTCCATGCATTGTCATTGTGCAAAATAATACCATAAAATAATCTAACTAGTATATCTCTTTATCTTAATATTGTAAACACTACAGTATTTACCCTTCATACCTCAAATTTGTAAATATCTTGTATATACCTTATAAAACTTTTCTTCTGCATTTAATATTATTTTAAAAATTACTGTAAATAATGAAATAATCTAAATAGGACATGACCTAGTGGCCTAGATACAAAAGCCTGCAAAGGTTTCTAGTAGGTCTCTAGCCCAAATAGTTAATTTGTAATGTTTAATAATTGTAATGTACATGATTGGGAAAATAAAATTAAAAAAAAAATATTCCCCCGCTCCCCTAAGTAAATGTTGAATGGAATTTTTCATCATATATGAAGTGTGGATAATGCGGATATGCGACATTGAAGAGGGGGAGTGGGGAATATGTGTGAAAATTCAAGTTTTAGTTGTTTGTTTGGATTTTTGCAAAACTGGATCAAGTGTCCTGATGGGTCTTGGCCTGGATTGTAGTAATCTGGTATCCACCCGGAAAATCTAGAATCTCACATTTGGATAATAGATATCCTAGCAAGCTGACACTGAGACAATTAAGGCAAAACAAACTTTCAATTTCCAGAAAACAGAGTGACTGGAAAAGAGTATACAAAATCTGCAAACACAGCTAGGACAGACATGGTGAATAGTAACACATACAACAAAATATAAACAAAGAAATCTCTGTGGACAGCAATGTGTTTTTGTTTAATATCCCAATGGATACTGTGCTTGTGAGGTCCAGTATCCAAATTTAAAATGGTATCCTGTGGATATCGGGATACTGCAAATTTCAAGCCCTGAAATTTAGCTGAGTTAGGATATATGACACCCGGTGGTGTCAAGTAACAAAGAAAATGTACTTCGTTACTGTACTTAATTAAGTACTATTTTTGAGAAGTCAGCATGTAACAAAGTAAACTTATTCTGGAGTACTTTTTCTTGGAATGAAGTGGTTTCAAGTAGTAACGCTTTACTTAGTTATTTTCACTTTGTGGCGAAGTATTTTTAGTTGTTACTTTCTAACTTTTGTTTAATTTTACGTGATTTAATCCTGATTTATTTTGGGACCTCTACATGCGTCTGGGATCTCTCGTTTGTGGCTTTCTTTTTAGCACTATTTATTCAATGGATTTCTTATATCTTCAACGAGGTCTGGAAAGTAGACCATGCTGTGAAATATTGTATATTATAAGGGTGTGCATATAATGTGTGTGCTGTTTTGTGTCTTTTGTATGTCAATCCATTGGAGAAGTCCCCCTTCTACATGCTAGAAACAATAGTAGTTTTACTTTTTACTTCAAGTATTTTTTAAGGATACTTTGTACTTTTTACTTATTTACGTTTTGCCTCCAGTACTTTTTACTATTACTCAAGTCGTTTTACTGTTAATTACTTCTACTTTTACTCGAGTACAAATTCAAAGTAATTTAGGCACCACTGAATTGACACTAACAATATATTCCTCGACTTAATACTACCAATGAAATAGCCATTAGGTAAAAAATTGTTTATATAGGTGTATTTTACTCTTTTACAAGCTAAATTGTGTAAAGTGTCATTCGACAATGCCCCTTGGCCAGTCACTATCCGGTGGATAATGCTATCCAGCTTCTGTACAACCGGTCAGGTTCATAAAAAAACCCAAATTGTCCTAATTAAGAGCAAAATTACTGCATTCAGTATTGCTCATTTTATCTATTTAAATTCATGATTCCTTTTCAATGAGATAAATATCTGGAAAGTGTGAAAAAATGTCAAGCAGAATGATCAATGATTATATTATATCAAAATGTCAAGCAGAATGATCAATGATTATAACAATTTTAACACAAACATACAATACAGTGAATACACATGGTTCTGTGCATTTAATATTAGAAAATGGCAACCAGTTTGAAACTTCTCATAATTATTCCTATGCTGATAAGTTACATCAATTCATTAAAAAGTACGATTAAATTAATCGAATATTATTATCAAGGCATACAATTTATAAAACCATATAAACCAGCACAACAAACGTGGCATAACACAAATATTGAAGCAGCAGTAAAATGTTCTATAAAATTTCTTCAAATGGCTATTACATACGTGTATCTCAGTTATATACTCACCAACGTAAATACTTCGTTAGCTGATGTATTCTTTCTAAAAATGCAATCAAAATGACAGTCGTAGCTTGCCAATTTTCCAACTCGACGATTTCATTCCAAGAACTTGATTTGAAAATTGAAACGCCGGTTTTCGAAGTCGCACGTGCGATCGCACAGGGGACTGAGCACGAGCGAAGTGAACGAATTTTTCGAAAGTGGTTTGCAGCATTTGCAGTACTGGCTGGGCCAAAAAGTACATCACACTTCATGCTAGAATAACAAGAAAGGGCAATCAATAGGAGAAAGCATTCATAAAGTTTTGAATTTTGATAAACCACGACTCTCCAAGAGAAGGTACATGTCAGTACCGCTGCCCACAGCACGCCCCTAATCTCATCCCATGCGGGTTTTCGTACCTAGTGATAAGGTCTGATAACTATCCCCGGTTGAAGCTACTATAGGCTAGTTTCGTTTTAGCCGATGTTTTAGCGTTACCCTGTCAAGAAACAATAGTGATAAACTATCAAAAGTAGCATGGTTTTATTGCGGTATTAACCTCTGAGACATCATCTACTTTGAATATAAATTTCCCAGGCCATAAACCCATAGTTTAATATGGACCATATATGCTCATTGATACATTCCACTGACAAAGTAGAGGCTCCGTTCAAGGACCAAATATGGTACTATCTATGCATAATTTATATACCAAACATGTAAATATACCAAATTTCCAGGGTAATATGGTCCGGGAGAGGGGGCACATTTCTTATGAAATATCTAAATACTGCACTGTAGATTTATTATATCTCCAGCGCTATCTTGAAAACTGCAACCTGTATTTCCAGATTCCTTGATAAATAATACATCCTGGTCCGTGTGGGCATGGGGCTGGGGACGTTAGAAATCAGTTACAACTCGATCTCGTACCCTGAGCCTGCAATCCTCTGAGGAGGATTCTGCCATGAATATCTTCTTAAGACTGAAATTTCGTATCGATTTGTCGAATGTTTGTTTATTAGAGGCACATTTGATGCTTCCCTCTATGTGTCCAATCCTTAAAAGCATGGCCTATCAGAGAAATTCGGGGGCCCGGGGCAAATTTTAGCGAGCGGGGGGGGATTTTTCCTGACATTAAAAAAGGGTCAAAAAAATTTTGTGGTCTAACATTAAATGAAATATGGCTGGGAAGGAAATGCCAAATTTAAGGATGGCCACATTTCCTGGTTAGACCATTTGGTACTTTTGTTTTGGTGTTACAGCATTTTATTATTTAAATACCGTATTGGTGGTTTGCAATCGACTGTTGATTTTCAAAACACATATGAACTCGGATATTGTTTATTGCTGACCGTATTCAGCCATAGACCATACGACTATGTATAATAACTCTGAAGAACACTTTAGAATCAACCAAGATGGCGCCCATTGACACGTAATGACGTCATGTGCAAACGAAGAATATTGAAATATGGGGATATTTTCCTGAGCACAGACCTTCGGGTGGGATGGAATAAAGTATCTACATTTGACTCAAGATTAAATACTCAGGCAGACGTAGTCTGGAATTTTGAGTATACTGGTATATTGAGCCCGTATTATCAAGTATATTCCAGTATTCTGGTAACCCCCTGACTTTCGCTTTGTGCGAATATGTTCGCCTAGTAGAAATGGGCTGAAATTCCCGGTCAGAATTTTTTATGTTATATATAATTTATAATGTTTTATATAATGTTAATAAACGTGATCAAGTTTATGTAGAGACTGTAGAGTCAATTCCCCAAATCGTCATTGTTGGAAATGACTGAAAGACTACAATTTCAAAGAAGTTGAAAGAATTTTCTTGGTTAACATAATGGACACTGCAAAATATATGGGGGCTCAAACTCCTTATATGGGGGCTCAAATCGATATGGAATTTTGACAAAGATGGCCCTCTATTAAAGCCACGCCTCTACAGCTAGCCCTGCAATCTTGCCTCCAAGTTACCAATTAGCGGAATTGTTATTGTATCAGCGCTAGCTATGTCACGTAATACATTCTCTCGCGACTTTTAATGTGTTGTTTTTTAATTTTCAATTTACAATTTTACAATTATTATTTTCCTGATAAATTATCATTTCTACTGATATGAAAGATAACCATTTGAATCTCGATTTAGAATTCTTTTGATCGTAACACACTGAATTCGTCTTCTCTAAATTCGTTAATTAACATTTTTCATTTCCATAGAAAAGAAAAATGTTGATCAATTGTAGATATTCAACCAAAGCGATTCGAATGGCAATTTACAGGACGATCTATAATCACTGGTTAGATTTGCATTGTGTTTTTATCTAGTTCCGTACGGATACTGTATCGGTAAATTCGGGCTCGGTGTAGACATCATATAAAGATGAAACAGTAAGAGCTTGCTTCAGATCATCCACGGAGATTGATGGTTGCCAACAGTAAAAAACAATCTGAAAAAGAAGTGTAACAGATTGATTTAAAAACCATTCCGAATATTAACATCTTGTAAACTCAAGATTCTAGTTAAACAAAATTCAGTATACCTTGAATTTTATTATCTTGTTTGAATAGCTCGACTAATGAGTTTACAAGATGTTAATATTTGGAGTGGGTTTCATCTTATATATGTTGCGAAATTGTCTGCTTGGTAAAGGATTATAGATTGATTGGAATAAATTAAACCATATATTTCGAATAAATTAAAACCACTGGCATGTAGCTGCGTCGAATAGTATAGTCAGTATACAGGTGGTCGAGGAGCTCCAGGCTGCTCAGTACAGACTACAGTGAAAAGTATCAAATTTGCAATTGTCCCTTGATGTGAAATCAATATGCGTATCCATAGGTGGAAATCAATATGCGTATCCATAGGTTGTCAGTGGTTCTTAACACATTTAATTGCTCTTTCTCGTCAATTGAATGCATGGTTCTAAAAAGCCCAACATTGCATAAATAGAAAGTTACAACGCGTTACTTTGTTTCTATATCTTGAAGTATTAATGCCTCGTTCTCAAAAAGACTATAAGTATATCTTGGTAGCAGTGGCAATCCTTGTGCATGATAAACTTTTGTTCAGGCATAAAATCAACTATTTACCTGTGTAAACTGTTGTGTAATCAGAAATCCATTGTCAGAAAAGCGTCCAGGTATATCTCCACTCTCCAACCAAACAAATGGTGCGAGTGCGGTGGACTTAAGCGTGATCAGAAATTCGTTAAACGGAATTAACGAAATATTCAATATCTGGAAATGGAAACAAACAATTACGAAACATCATTTTCCCTTACCGATATGTATTTCGCTGCAGCTGCATGCAAATGCCGATGTGGTCACTGCTGTGTATATCCTAACCCACTCTGTCAACATTCCCACACGAAGAAAACCGGGTATCCGGAGAAAACCCACGGCTACAATCTTGGACAAAACCCTTGAGACCATTCCAGCCAATTCTTGGGTATATGACGTCACAAAAGTGACGGGGGGTCAACTCTAAAACAAAACACAGTTGTCAGAGTGAGTCGATTGTTCGTTTTATGTATTAGCCTTGTGTTTGGTAGCAAATACGTGAATTTCGTATCATTTTCTCACTCCAGTATAACATAAGCATCAACATATTTGAGGTTGACCCCCGTCAGATTCATGATCACTGCATAATGCCGTAGTGAAACCCAAGAATATCACAAAGTTATTGAACATTGACAAAACAAACTTTGTCTCCCTCCCCCCAGTTCAATGTTGTAAACAACGCCGAAACAACCTTTGGTAATATACCATGACACAAACTCATTAAGAAGGGCAACATGATTCAACATGGAGTTTATCATAAAAATATGCGAATTTTCTATTGGGGGAAAATAGTCTCAACCAGTTATGTCCAAGGTTGTAGGTGCCGGTTGAAGGCTGGATAGCGTTTAAATTTTCAATTCAAATTTAAACCATAAGTGCGTTGACTGCTATAACCATGCAGATTAAACTCTAGTATTTATAAATTAATCTATCCCGACCTAATCTGCTTCCCTTTCCTCTATTACCCTCCAGTGCATGGATCGCTATATCTGGCCTTCGTATACAATCGGCCTCATAGCGTTAATAACTGATTCTATATTCACATGAATCTGATGAATGTCTTAATTGCAGAACGAGAATGACCCCATGATTTCGGCAGCCACTTAGTCATTCAGTCAATCATTTGCCTTTTTACTGAGATTAAGAAAATGAGTGTTCGCAGTATTACAAATGCATCCCTTTTGCACGCAACTACAGGCGAGGAGCAAAGAGCACAAGCAAAGTATATTCCACATACAGTTGATGGGTCTACTATGAACACCGTGTGTGACCTTATACAGTCTGCAACGTTGGGGGTCAGATAATAAAGCAGCACCGTTTTACCATCGTTAAGATTGTATATTACCTGCGATTATTGGAATGGATTTGTTTCCCGCAAAGATGCAGATCAAAAACACTAAAAACGGACCTACACAACCAACCTGTGACAACGTCTGGGAAGGATTTACGCTACAAGAAAGGTTGAAGTACCTGGACGTTCTATGTTTGTTTTTGAAGGAACGGTCGAAGGCCGCATTGATCCTGGTAAGCCAATCATGGTTGGGACTTGAGGTGTGATCGTGTTTTGGATACAGTTCGGTACGATGGACGTGTTCTTATGCATATGGTAAACTAAGTACGGAAGTGTGTAGAGTACAAAAGGGAACGTGCGTAGGAACTTTCTCGACCGTGGTTGAGGATGCTGTTGTTGTTGGACAGTTGTCACGTGAAAAGTTGGAGACTGCTAAGTCGAAGAAAGAGGAAGTAGCCATCAAACGTGATGCAATTGCACGGCGATTGGCCAACGCTGCAGATTTAACAGCCAACGAGAAACACCGGTTGAACGAGAAACCACATGACCATGGAGAGCTCTTCGCTATAACTGGGTCGTACTTCGATTATGGAGCATACAATTCCAACTCAGGACGCAACTCCCGTTCATCAGCAGCCTCGAAGGGTTCCATATAATTGCCTTCAGGAAGTAGAGCGTTTTGCAACCTCGTTCCCAGGGCTTAGCCTTGGGAACGTGGTTGAGCGTTTTGTAGACGAAGGATTGGATACTGGAGTGATTCGACCTAGCAAAAACCCATGGGCTAGCCCCCTGGTGTTAGTTAAGAAGGAAGACGGCAGTACGACTATCGTCAATTTAATGACGTAACCGTAGGAGATTCGTTTCCAGTTCCACGCATTGACCACAGTCTTCGAGCCTTACGTGGCGCTAAGATCTTCAGGACGATCGATCTTACTAAATAGTTCTGGCAGGTTCCGGTGAGAGAAGATGACAAACCGAAGGCGGCATTCACTTGTCACAAGGGACTGTTTGAGTTCAATACATACAATGCCATTTAGATTGAAAGATGCGCCAGCAACGTATGACTGCTGTCCTGGGTGATCTAAATTGGCAGATTGTTCTTATATACCTCGATGATATCATAGTGTACTCGCGAAGTTTCGAAGAGCATCTGGAGCATTTGGAAATGGTCTTTATCAAGTTCCACACTGCTGGATTCTATCCAGACAAGTGTGCGTTCGGTCATCAGGAAGTGAAGTATCTGGGTCATCTGGTCGGAAGTAAGGGCGTTGTGCCAGACCCAGCGAAGGTGAGTGCAATCCAGAACTATCCAAGATCGCAATCTGTCGCCGAGGTACGTCGGTTTCTTGGAATGACATTGTATTATCGCAGATTCATTGACAGGTTTGCTGATATTACTGCCCCACTTCATACCATTACTCAGAAACAAGTGGTTTTCGATTGGATTTCTGCTTCAAAAATTGCAAGGGCACTTGGTAGCATCGCCTATACTCACGTATCCGGATTTCTCGCAACGCTTTGTTGTAGAAACGGACGCCAGTGATATTGGGTTGGGTGCTATACTGAGCCAACGAGGACATGTCATTGAGTATGTCTCTCGAGTCAGCCACGGAGAGGAACTACGCCGGAAAAAGCATGGCTTGGCGTCGTATGGGCATTGGAGAAGTTTGCGATGTACCTGGAAGGTTTCCACTTTAATATAATCACTGATCACAAGCCGTTGACATACCTCATGCAATTAAAGAAACCGCGAGGCAAACTGTCGCGATGGCGTGTGGCATTGGATAACCTTGATTTCCAAACTCAACACCGGCCAGGGAGATTCATGGTGGTGGCTGACGCGTTATCAAGAGCCCCTGTTGGTGCTATAACGTTGGAAGCATTGTGGACCGAATCTGCACTCATTAACCTTCAACAGTCAGATGAGGATATTCGGACAATGCATCGACGGGCGAAACCTGTTTACGAAGGAAATGTCCGACAGTTCCTGATCGTTAGCCCACAGGACAGCTTCCGGTTCCTGCCCGACAATTCCAGTAATGGCACATGGACTTTGCAGGACCACTTCCTACGACCCCCAGGGGGGCAACAAATACATTTGATCCATTTACAAAATCAGAGGCATTTGCTGTACAAGATTAATCAGCAAGACCACATCAGAAGTAGTTTATCGAGAGATTGTATGCTGGTCTACGCAATGCTAAATTTATTCTTCTTCGATTCACTTCGCGCGGAAAATTTCGCCTTGTGAAGATTACCCATGCAGGCTATGTGGAAATGGGTTTAACCACGAAAAAAAATCCAAATAATACCTGAATATTTGGATTAAGCAACTGTGCATCTGCAAGCGAAGTAAAATAGAACACGTTAGTCGGGATGTCAGGTGTGTCAATTTCTCCGTCAGGAACACTGGAGAATGTTACTACACAATGACTTCGGTCTTTACAGCTACTTAATTTGAATAAATTATCTATGTCTTTTTGCCATACTTTAACCTACGTAAATGAGAAACAAAACAATCTTGTTACAAATGATGGCTTATTGCTACTGAAAATATCCATGAAGTAAGTTTTTTTAATTCACTGTTGTATTATATAGGTTTGTGACCAAGAAGCATAAAAATAGACATTCTACTACTTTCTATATACAGGGTGTCTAAAAAAAACCGCTATGGAAATTCAACAGGCTGTCGTGCATCATAAACGTAGCTTAACAATTCAATTTTTACATAGGACGAAAGAACAGTTAGTTAGCTTTTGAATGATACTAACGATACTAACGATGATCGTAACGATGAGAAATGGCCACATACTCGTCAAATAAAAATTGCCGGTCGAAATCACATTCTTCCACCGTTGGGAATTGCATGGAAAACGAAACAAACAATTCCCAAGAGGGAATCAAAACTCAATGTTAAATTATCTCAAACAAGCTCAACTCGTTAATCTTCGTCTTAGTGAGATCATAAGAACGTCCATTATTGCATTAAACATGGTTCAATTAACCCCTAAACAGAGAACATTCGTAATCACGACGTTTTACGAAACAAGTACCTTGCAGCAGACTCGCGGTGCTTTTGGATTGATTAACTTTGTATAATTAATGTATTTTCAATTCCCAACGGTGGAAGAATGTGATTTCGACCGAAAATTTTTATTTAACGAGTATATGGCCATTTCTCATCTTTACGGTTTAGAAAATATATCATAGAAAAGCTAAATAACAGCTCTTTCGTCATATATGTGAAAATTGAATTGTTTGATGCACATTGACAACAGCCTGTTGAATTTCCATAGCGTTTTTTTTTAGACACCTTGTATATAGGAAAAGGGGATTAGCTCAATGCCCGCATCTTCCATAAATCATGTTTGTGGTATGTTGTATATTTAGGTGTCCCAGCTCATATTTTAATCATAGTAGGAAAACATCAAGTGAATTAAAGAGAACATTGATCGGCTTTTCCGGGTTTCTTCCCTCCCTATGTTTCTCCTCAAATACTCCAACATAAAAATAAAAATTGTGAAAATATACAAATTGGGAAAAATTAGATTATAATCTTGTGGAGACAAGTGATGGGGGATTAACTCAAATGGTAGAGCACGCGCTTAGCATGTGCGAGGTAGCGTGATCGATGCCCGCATCCTCCACAAACGTTTCTTTAATATGCGACATTATTCATGTGCTTCTACTTACAGACGATTGTGCTGGTACTTTAGTCCACATTGTGATAGTCGTGACTGGGTCATCAATCATTTGCCACGACCAAATGTTGATTGTTAGCTTTAGTTCAACATTCTTCAATAGAAAGAGAAAAATTTGGTAGAAAGATCTAAGGACGATGTTTGCAATAAGAACGTGTGGCTAAATTTTTATTTCCGCCTCGATAATAATTAGCAGAGAGTGTTTGTAACTGGGAAATTATAAGCACACTACATGTACTACATGGCGGTCTCGAGCACGTTCACCTGCGTGTCACTCAGAATGAAGATTGGGTACATACGAACCCCTGCAATCCATATCAGAATGTGTATTATAAGCACACTACATGTACTACATGGCGGTCTCGAGCCCGTTCACCTGCGTGTCACTCAGAATGAAGATTGGGTACATACGAACCCCTGCAATCCATATCAGAATGTGTATTATAAGCACACTACATGTACTACATGGCGGTCTCGAGCACGTTCACCTGCGTGTCACTCAGAATGAAGATTGGGTACATACGAACCCCTGCAATCCATATCAGAATGTGTATTATAAGCACACTACATGTACTACATGGCGGTCTCGAGCACGTTCACCTGCGTGTCACTCAGAATGAAGATTGGGTACATACGAACCCCTGCAATCCATATCAGAATGTGTATTATAAGCACACTACATGTACTACATGGCGGTCTCGAGCACGTTCACCTGCGTGTCACTCAGAATGAAGATTGGGTACATACGAACCCCTGCAATCCATATCAGAATGTGTATATAAGGGATTTTGTAGATGGAAATTCCGAGTGGAATTTTTATACATTTATTAGACCTAACCAAGAGCAGTTGCGAAAAATGCAACTATTGGCACCCTGGCAGGAATCGAACCTGCGGCCACAGAATAGGAAGTTATACCAGAAGCGTAACTCGAGCAAATATTTGTCCGCGTTTTTACAAGCGATTCGTCATCAATCACGCCATCCTGGCTAGTACAACCAGCACTTTGTACCTACCAAATCCTGATAAAAACTTCCGGCTGTACTAGCCAGGATGGCGTGGCCTGACGTGAGCGAGTTAAAATTTTCGTGGACGTCAAACAATAAAGGGAAACGACTAGAGTTACGCTTCTGGTATAACTTCCTATTCTGTGCCTGCGGCCCTGCGAGACACTTATTCTTTTGACTTTCTGGCAAGTGTGAGGGTGCTTGTTAACAACTTAATTGCTACAATATTCATGATTCAAAAGACCTGTTAGAAATTGTTACAACAACTTGTTATACTATATAATTTATACAACTCACCTGGAGTAAATCAGACACAGCAAAGATGTACAAGGTGTTATTGAACTCAAACGGTGAAATAATAATTGGTGAAAAGAAATCTTTTGCGTAGTAGTGCAACATCTAAAAAATATCAATTGGCTGTTTTTAATTGAATACCTATTTTACGGAAATGGACCACGACAGAGTTTTTTCATTAAGACAGCATCACACAATGCCTCTGTTGCGGACACTTCGCGAAATATTGGGGGAATAACTTTTTGCTCAATTTTTTTACTTAATTATCATCTGTCTCCCAAGAGGAGTTTGAAGAGCTAGTTCTAAATTTGCAGCAAGTTATTAAGATATACCTTCCATCTTCCTCCATATTCTAACGATGACCAAGTTGGCGCTGGCCAAATACTGTTCAACCTGCCATAATCAATCAATCAATCAATCAATTAATCAATCAATCGTCATATAAAAATATTGCATGGTAGAAACTTGGCCCCTGACGCGAAAGGAATTACAACTATTGCTTGTGAGAACAGAGAGAACAATTCCACATCGGGCAATACAGAATCTTCAGGACTTAAGACATGTCCGTTTAATGATGGCGCAGACACATGCATTTATAGAAAAGAAAAAAGTCACATAAAAAATACATGGGAAATTAAGGCATAGCAGCGAGGACACGACACGTGAGGAGGTTCTTCCGACGACTAGCCTGAAGCCTGAAGGAAACAAAGATCCCTAACACTTCGAACTAACGAAGCTGTCAGACGGTGGATCACATACAGTTCAGTCTTAGGACCATCTGCTGGCCGTCGGCGCGACTACGAAGGACATGGCTATTTCGGCATTGTGCACATGCACTCTTTATAAATTCAGACAATTTTATCAATGAGCAAAAATGTTTCATGCCACGTAAGGTTAATCAACATTACACATAATAATTTTTATTGTGGGAAGCACCCGGATCTTTCTCATGCAAATAGTTTTAGGAAGTATTTAAACTTCTATATCCTCTTATGCTAGCATACAAATTAAGATTGTATACATTTTGTAAAATCACCAACTAAACATCGTCTACTCACTGCCAATAAATAGCCCCCATGGTATGACCACGACCCTATATGAAAGGCAGAAAACAAATTAGAGCAAAACATCAGATGCAGCATAACAAGAACTTTCATTGGGACTATGACTACATGGTCGCCTGATAAAACATGGCCCTCTTACAAACGATTAACGTCAAATTACTCTTCATAGAAAAAAGTATTTTCCACACAAACATGCAATTCCGCATGAAACCAGTAGATCGTGTATTAATTCTTTGTAGATAATTAACGTCAGAATGGTTAATTTCAATTTTTCGCCTTACCAATAATAACTCATACCCAATAAGACAGCGCGAGCTGAGAAAATCTAGAGTGGACTGAGTGCGAGTCAGTTACTAACATGTTTCTGATGGGCGATTATACGCGGTCTGCTGACGTGTATATTGGAACACACTCTTGGCAAAAAAACACGCGAACTCTGTTTTCAACATACCTCATTCATGACACTTCGCAGACGTCGGTAGTGCTCAGATTCCGCTTTAATACAGATTGCTTGAGAAGCCTTTAAAACAAGTTCAGCACAAGTGAGTTGATATATAAGTAGTTTCAAACATTTATCAGACGTTTCGAGAGGAAGCTGTTTTGTCAGAGAGTTTGTAGAAAACGTTGATCTGCAAAGCCGAATTTGAAAAATTATAGACTACAATTATAGCTACTGTTTACTTAACTAAGTTAGTTTTTATTCGGAATTGCCAGTGTAAGAAATTTGGCGGGCTCATGAATTGGAGGATTTTGTTCGGGGCGGGAGCTTTTACTGTATTCAAATTTTCACTTTAATATATACTTTTTCAGCTTTATAATTCAAATTTACCTGAGTGAGATATAACATGTCTTTAAAATGTTTCAAAGGATCTGCTGAATTTGGAATTTTAAAATGCATCTTGGTCTGGTTCAACATTTGTTCATTCCCTTAAATAAATAACATGCTGAGGTCATAAAAAAAGAACCATTCATTTGACGATTTGCAGAAGGGTTTACAGAATTTGGATGAGAGTGGGCTTCACGGTTAATGTCATAGAAATTATAGATATCTATAATTTCTATGGTCATGGTATATGGCAGTAAAATTCTTTTTTATGATGCATGTTAAGACAATTAACCTTGCTCAATTTTATCACTCAGGCAGTCAGGCTGTTATGATAAAAACGGACTTGAATTTGTGGAATTTCCTCCACCTTTTGGCACTTAAGGCAATGCACTTCAATGCACTTCAATGCACCGTGTTTCCTTGACTTTTGTACACATAATGATCTTGTCATGAATATTATTCATAACATTTTCAAAAATATTAGAAACAACAAATGTTTGCATTTCAAAGGGAGATGTGCTCTTCCCGTTCCGCCAATGATATCCAAATTCAAGTGTCGTCTTTTACCAATTACATCACATGCAATAATAGAAACTCAAATCATGGGAAGAAAGTTACCCTGGGGTGCCAAAACAAGTATGGACATTAGAGCATCAATGTAATAATATCTGACATGTTCACCTGAGCCGTGGTGCTGTCTGTGCATCATGATAGGACTAAAGTATGACCAATCATCCTTCACGGTCACACTAGAAAGAGTCTGGAACCGAGGCAAAGATTGAAGTCCATATTCTGAAGCAAATCGTGGTTGAGGATATCCCCGGATGTCCAGACAGTCCATTGTGTAATTGTAGTAATGAACTGGAAATAGTGCACGTACATACAAATATGGTTAATGCGACCATAAATGTCGACGACCAGGGGGGGTGGGGTGGAGGGTCAAACAAGACAATTTGCCCTGGGCTGACTCCCACCTAAATCCAAAAACAAATGATGCATAGATATTAATGTCAAATCGTCTCCCAGAATGCAGCCATGCAGGTATTTGCCATGCCTGGAACCTTAAATACTTAGGTTTTCAGGGGGAAGGTTAACATACCTGAGCATTTATGTAGATTGAGAACGCCACTTAAACGCAAAATTCAGCGGATTGCCTCGTCCCCAGGGCCTCTCGGCCGTGCGCGTCCTCCCAAGGCCCTAGGACACACGGAACCGGAAGTGCAAGAACACTTGCAGTAGTTTCTAAAGCGCATGCTCTTAAATTGGAACGCTTTAGCACCCGTAACAATTTTCACAGTGAAGTATTACGAAGAAACGAAGTATTTGTGTTAACAAATGTTGATAGAATAATTTTGCCTAGCGAAAATTGCTCAACTTCTGCGAAATAACAGTTCTCTGAGAAGCCAATCAGATCTCTCTCTTTAGAGAGCCTAATTTTCAACGAGTGGCCGAGCGAAAATGGCTCTGGGGACGAGAATGCAGGTTGCCTTAGAAGTTCAAGAGTATGAAAAATACATTTCTCAAAAGGAGCACCAGGGCCCCAAAGTTATATCTTTCCGCGATCCAACAAACGTTTCTGGGTCGTCCTGTAACAATGACCAAGTACTGTGTATACATGCAATACGGTTCAATTTACTATACTGAGCATCATATTGCATTATTTTGCACGCACAGTCTAGAGGATTTTTTAAAATACGAATTTCGTTCGGTTTTAACACTATTATCCCCTGATTTTATCTGTTTTATATTTACTCGTCAAAAAGATTGACTGTTGTTTGCAACTTTGCAGCATTCAAAACATGGACGGCTTTTTTCTGGCAATAAAGTTCAGCATGCCGCTGATAATTTTAACTTTCTCAAGCAGGAGAATTTTTAAGTTACAGAACTGTCTTACCATCTCCATAAAAATCACTGTTTGGATTACTAGAAATCCATCCTTCTTTTTCTGTCTGTACGCCATCAGACGGTGAAGAGGAGACAAAAGGACGGGAGCTATCAAGTCCTAACACAGTACTTCTTATTGTATCTATAAAAAGCTATAAGGAAGTGAAATATTTAGTCCTATCACAGTTTTTCTAATTCTGCCTATATAAAAGCTGTGACTAAGGGAACCATTAAGTATAGGTTATTTTGAGGCAACGAGGGGATATGTGATTTATTCACCGAGGCGCGTAGCGCCGAGGTGAATAAACACATATCCCCGAGGTGCCTCAAAATAACGTACTTATTTTTCACACTGCGAGGTCGCGTTAATGAGTCAGAATAGAAATAATTCTTAATGCCATATTGCCTTCGTTATGTTGTTTTTTTTTCTCATTTTTTTGTGCTGCAAAGACATTGCAGGTGAATATTAGAGGGGATTATTAATTGCAGGTGAATATTAGAGGGGATTATCAAACGGAAATTGATTAGTGGGGAATATTGAATATATTCTCCGATAAGAACAAAGGAAACCGAGCAGGGTGAAAAATAAGCCCTATAACACTACAGTGTTTCTTGTTGTATCTATAATGTAACGATGGGAAAATATTAAGGCAAATCGCAGTAAGAATGGCAAATGTTAAGTTCTACGAGAGTGTTTCTTAATGTATCAATAACAGGCTGTAAGGTTTCCAAAACGGAAACTAGTTTATGCAGTTGTGTCGACTTAATCGTCTTGCATGGGCTATACTAACTGGAAATGGTGCCTGGTTGTATATCTATCTGGTTAATTCAGGACGTCAACCAAAATTCCTGAAAATTCCTGGTAATACCAATTCAAAGATAAATAAAATAACCACGAAATTTAACTAGTAAAATTAACTAACGCATGTAGTTATTAGGTACCTGCAGGAATTTTTTACCTGTACGTAGATTACTGCAAAACGTCCAAAAAATTTAATGGATTTTGTTGGTGGAAATTCGAGCGCGATTTAACTAGGAGCAGTTGCTATAGGTCCTCTGGCCCGTTGCTATAGGCCCGTGTTGGATTTGTTTCTTGAACACGGAAGAACTTATATTCAATGTTTATCAAAAAGAAATTTGAAACAAGAAATTACCTTAACGTAATTTTCTTTGTATAACGTGAGGTTCTTTACGCCATACCTAAAATAAATTGGGTTCAGATAAAATTGGTCAGAATTAATACAGTAGCTAAATTGCGACTTGGAGCGAATCAGCGTCTGCATTACGGAGGCTTCGGTGCGACAAGCAGACTACAGCATAATGGCAAACTTAAACAACTAGATGTATTCTATGAGAGTATACTTGTTCAGCGGGCCCGCATATTCCAATTTGAGTAATATACCTTTCTCATAATGACGCAAAACGTGGAAAAACACTTGCGATGTCCCACGGGACAATTTTTACCGGGAATTCGCAATATGTAAATGATGTTACATAAAATTTGATTGGCAACGACTTGCATTGCATTGCACTCAGGGACGTAGCCACGGGGGGAATGAGGGTTCCCCCACTTTTGTTCAGGACCAATTTTGTAATTCTTTCAAAACTGAGGGGAAACTGGTGGGGGGGGGGGGGGGAATAGGCGAAAGGAACATTTTCCTACAAATCCTTACCAGGAATTCATGGCTTAGCTTAAGAGTCTGTGTAACCAAGAATTGAGTTACCGTGCATAAACAACAAGGGCTCAGAGTACGAGCTGAACTACTGAGGTGGACACGACATATGAATTAAAGATGAATTCGCGTTTCACAGAACCTAAAAATAGAAACATTTTCTGGGGGACCATCCCTCCCGGATCTCCTACTGTTTCTGTGTATTCGACGATTAGCCCCCTCCCCCCACTCGTTTGGGGCTGGGTACGATCCTGCTTGCACTGTCCCGTGGGACATTGTTTTTCCACGTTTGACGTCATTATGAGAAAAGTCTTGTAATCAAATTCGAATATGCACTCATTATGCAGGTAGGACATGACTTACGACACTGTATATCCGTCAATGTCCAATTATAATTGCTATAGTAAAACAACATGTCGCTACCCAATTTATTCATATATAATTCAAATGCTTTGTTTCCTTTATTAAGAATCCATTTTATAGGCTGGTTGACAATATAGCATTTTGTCGGCGATTTTCTCTTTCTGACGGATGCGAATGAGTGAAGAGTGAACTCGCACACAAAATTATAGAATAGCTTTTCGGAAGAAAATATTTCTAAATCATTTGCATGTTACTCATTCAAACACATCAACCAGGAGAAGAAAAATCGCTTGCAAAATTGTTAGTGTAACCAGTTTTAACATCATAACAGAGGTCCAATCAATGATATTATCTGAAAATGTGATTTGGATGGCAACAGGCATAAACTGATTAGAGCTCCATTACCAGTTTTGAGAAACACTTGATTCTATCTCATTATTTCCACTCCAAATAAGGACTGAAGGATGGTACTGCAATCGCTGAATCTGAAATTAAATCATCCAATTGCAATTGAGGGGGCTTCGGTGGCACAGTCGTCAGACTTTCACCTCTGAGATCGTGGGTTCGATTCTCGCTACGGACTCACACGAAAAGAGTCTGTCAACGCTCTGGTAAAGGTCGTGGGTTTTCTCCGGATGCTCCGGTTTCCTCCAACGGGGAATGTTAATAGGGTGGGCTAGAATAAACATAGTTATATAGGAAAGTAATATCACAACTGTTGTAAAGATAAATAGTCTAGGACAAGTAGGTAATATAAGTAAGCGTAATACTTGATGTAATCGGTCAGTGAAAAGCCCTGATGGGGAGTGAGCTGAATAATGTATGTACTGAGGTCGTATAAATCCACACACCTTGGGATAATGTCAATGGATGTCAAAATACCTGATGAGTAACTTCCTTCCGTACAGAATCTAAAAACTGTTCATCGGCAGGATAATAATCACATGCAAACATAAACTCTTGCCATATCAGTAAACTATAAGTAAATTAAATAAATGAAATAAAAGAGTTAGCACGGATATCAATCTTTTTTTTCTGTTTCGGGAATTCACTAAACAAAATTGATATCTTCAGTTGACAAAATTTTACCGTGGGCAGCACGTATATTAAACATGCGAAAACTAATTATATCGTTTTCCATCCAAGATCAACCCCAAGATCTAGCCTGTGTCAAAGACCTTAAGAGATGGTCTTAATACAGGCCACCCAAGACGCTTCCCTTCAATACTGATCGAGACTTGGGCCTGAATTATGTTATGAGATCCTAATACACTCGGTGGATAAATTATTAAAAATACAGAAGGGCGATACATATGGAGGGATCAAGGTGGTCAATATTGTTCATTAACAGTTGAGACTGTACTTTTTTCATCCACGTATTCACAAACCACAATTGTTTGTAAAGACCACTGCTGGAAAATGTCCGGCAGCGCCAGCAGCACCGCTGCCAGGAAATGTTTAACAAAATATCTTTCTTTTAAAAGAGATTGTGTTGTGCCGAGATTGAAGCGACCTCGTACCCAGGGCTAGCCGCGAGTTGAAGGCGGCCATATTAAAAAATCGGGCGGGCAGGCCCTGGGTATGAGGTTGAGACTGAAGTTTATCAAAATACGCGGCACAATACGTTCTCTGAAATCAACCTATCAGCAGGAAGTTTTATATTTGACTTACACATGCAGGAATTCTTATTTTTGGATTTTGCTGCCATCATGTTCTAACGCTTCCTGCGCCCTAATAAAAATTAATAATGGGTTTGTTTAGATACGTACCCCAGCTCATCAGCAATACTGTAAAATGAGTCATGTTGATATATTCCCCCGCCCCAGTTTCTGACAATATTCATGTTCGCGTCAGCAGACGACTGTAATATGTTGCGTATGACGTCATCAGTGACACGATCTTCAAATGCATCTAGAATACAAACAATTTCATAACTAGAAGTCACCATCGCAAGAAAATTGCTGCCGGAGGTTGGCGTGAACGCCATAACGAAAAGGTAATTGGGATGAATATTATTAGCAAGCAATTTTGCAAGCATGCAATTTTGCTAGCATATAATTTTCAATAAACATACTGTAGTTTCCAGGGACCGCGGAGCCTGTTTAAAAGTGTGAGGGGGGCAGGATAGCACGGGAGCTATTCCAAGCAGGCAGGCTGGATTTTATCCGGTATTTTTTTATTATCCACCGAAAAAGTGGGGGGGGGGCATGTTTCATAATGTTGTGAATTACTGTTAACTTTCAACGTTGTACGTTTTTATACATAAGTTTAAGAAGAGTCTGTGGCTCTAATAAATAAGAATGCAACAAGGACATGTATATACAGTAGGCCAAATTTGGCTGCCAACTGCCAGACAAAGGGCTTTCACTCGACAAAGGGCATTCGCCCAGGTAGTTCCAAAAGACATGTATTACATTTCATGTATATTTCATAACCTTTCTCACAGCTATTAATAATTCATAAATTATGCATTTAATTAAGAAATACATGTAACATGTTTAATTTGTATTTAAGGGATGTAGGTTAGCTCGCATTAACCCGTGTTTACATGAGATATTCAAACGGGCTTGCTCACCAAAACAAATCACCCGGGATGAGATACACAGTGTAAACCCAAAGAAGCTATAACCCAAAGAAGCGATCATCACAGGGACCATTTACGATCCTGGTCACATGTTGTACCCCTATGATACAATTATCAGTAAGTCATACAAACCTGCAGGTATCCAGTTAGCACCTTTCATAAATATTGCAACATCGTTAACTTTATAATAGAAACTGAGACCTTAATATACAAAGAAGAAATGGATGTGTTATTCGTCATTTTATAATTACTATATACTTGCAAGACGGATTACGATAGTCGTCTTATCTTGGCATATAGTAGCAGTTAAATGAGTTTTCTGATATTGTTATGCTGTTGTGTTGATATTTTCTGATATTTTATGCTGTTGTGCGGATGTTTTCTGATATTGTTATACTGTTTTCTGATATTGTTATATTGTTATGCTGTTTCACTGCTTCTTTGAGAACTTTTTTGTGCGAAAAAATCGTTGTTTGTCGAAGGAGTCTAATGACAACAGAATGTACAAAAACCGAATTCAATAACTGTTTTATTATGATATCCGTTATTATCCGGAATTATAAAGGTCTTGGTAGTTGCATGTCATCCACCAGTCTCGCCTTTGATTCGACTGATAACATGCCTACCTCGACCTTGATAATTTCGGATATTACAAAATCCACTAACTTACTGTTCATAACATGGTGGCTATATTGGTACTAAATTCGGAGAAAAATATTGTCATTCTTTGTTGGATTTCCACAAACATGGTCCCTTTAACAAATAGATAAGATTTGCCGTGGTCTGTTCAGTTATAGATACACAGTATGACGTCATAATGTTTCCCACATTATATTATGATGTCATACTGTGTGTATCCACTATACAGAGACGTAACTAGTGTACCCACTTTTTTCGTGCGCATGCTCGGCAAGTTACTAGATGCATGCATCTGATTGGATGACGACCTGATGACGACTCACTTTAAACTTGCTGAGCACGCGCAGTTGATCATTTTTCGCCCGGTCGCCTGAAAAAAAGTGGGTACATGATAACGTAATCTTCAGCAGTGTCAGTTACGTCTCTGTATGTCTTATCTACTCTGTGCCATAACTGAACAGACAACGGCAAAATCTTATCTATTTGTTTTATATAATAACTTTTTATCCACCCAAACATTTGGAAATTTGAAAAAATCGAAATTTTACAAATATCACGCGTACATGATCTATACAAATAAGGGAATGCTATTGGCTACCTTAAGTTACATCACGTGTGACGTAATTCCGTGCGTCTGTCCTCCAATAGATCATGGCTCTCGACCAATGAAAGCGCTTGAATTCTTAACGTTATTATATAAATACAAATACTACCTCACAAATACTACCTCCAGTAATCTGTTCCTGAACAAGCTTAACTTCGCGGAAACCAATCCGTATTGTTTTCGTAGAAATTTCAAACGTCTGAGTATCTTTGTAAGTTACCTGATAATAGCACGTACATCACGTTAGAGCTCTTTGTATACTTGAAGTGTTCAAATGAAGTCAAATCACCGGCTGGAAAATTAATCTTACAATGTCCCAACGAGGAATCAAACCCAAGATCTCTGGATGAACGTACCAGCGCTCTGAAGCCCACTGAGCTACTGGAATCCCCGACCGAGACTCCATACAAATTATTATTTAAGCTATTTACGCATACACTGTTAAGGAAAACAAGCCATTGCTTCATTCCTAGCTTAGTAAGCCTACATCACAATCATGCATAAGCTCGTCGTATATGTGGATTGGATATCCCGCGAGATATGGCTCACAAATATCCCAATAACCCGAGGTTTAGAGTGCTGCTACTTTCCTGATTCACGGGTAGGACATTCAAACATGCATTACTGTTGTTGCATGTTGCATGTTGCATGTAGCACGTGATTTGACTTGGACACAACAAGTTCCTATATATACTGCATGAGGACATCAAACAACCAAATCCCATTGTATATATTGGAATTCCTGATACTGTCGACAGCTGTCAACTATTTTGGAACACCATGATAAAACATACTGACCTACCGTAAGATCATAAAGTGGCTGGCTACCATAACCTCTGGGCCACCACGTCCTAACTCTGTGTTCATCATCTAACAGAGTAATGGTCGGTAAATAAACTTGAGTAACACTAGACATTGTGCAATGAACCATTGCCTTGCTGGCGACACCAAAACGTGGTAAAGTAGCCACCACACTTCCCATGCTTTCTTCAGATCCACAATCGATAACCACAGTTACTTTCAAATACCACGACACGCTACTGGAATTCGCTAGAAGTAAATACGACATTAACCAAGAATTAGGTACGTTAAGTCTACATGTGTTTGTTAGTGTTGACAAATCACAATAGTTTTTGTTCAAGTGAATTAATGTTGTTGTTGTTGTTGTTGTTGTTGTTGTTGTTGTTGTTGTTGTTGTTGTTGTTGTTGTTGTTGTTGTTGTTGTTGTTGTTGTTGTTGTTGTTGT